AAGTCACTTCACCCTGTTTGCCTGTTTCCTCATCTATAAAGTGAGCTGGAGAAGGAAATGGCAAACCACTCCAGTACCTTTGCCAAGGAAACCCCAAATGGGGTCACGGATTGTTGGGCATGACTGAAACGATAATATATTATTAAGTTTAATAAGGCAGTAACAGAATGGTTCTATTCTATGTCCCACGGAGAACTTTTTTTTTGTTTTCTTCTGTGTATTTTAAAAATATATATATTTTATTGATGTATCAATCTACAATCTCCTCTATAATTTCAAATTGTGACCTTATTAACTTTCCTCATGAAGAATCATCTTGTTGCTGCCAAATTAATCCTAACTCTTTAGCTTGACATTCAAGGCCCTCCTCAATCTGGACTGTCATTATTTAAAACTACTTCAGGGGGCGGAGCCAAGATGGCAGAGGGAAAGCAGTGACTTGTTTGAGCTCTCCTCCCAAACCCCTCCAAATACCTATAAAAAATGGCTCTAAACAAATTCTAAAGCAGCAGAACCCACAAAAAGGCAGAGTGAAACAAATTTCCAGCCCAAGACAGCCCGGATGGTTGATTGGAAAGGTGTATCGCACTAGGCCGGGAGAGGAGCACAATTCGGCGTGGGTGCACAGGCCGCAGCTAACCTGGAGCAGGCCTCAGAGGACTGAATCGCGGGCAGCTGTGGCGGTTTCCAGACTTCTCAACCCACGAACGCCAAAGACAACTTGGAAGGTCAGTGGGAAAAGTCTGTGACTGCATTGAGAGAAGGAGCTAGGTCTCAGCCACCCCTGGGGCCGCGGCTGTGAGCTTCTGGCTCATAGACTGAGAGGGATTCGAGTGGCTGATCAGAGGGGGATTGCAGGGATCTCTTTGCCAGGGCTGAGGCAGGAATCTCTTGCTTTATGGGTGCTTGGATCTGGGTCACAGTTCTGAGGGGTGGTCCTGGGGCGAGGAGGAATGCTCGTGTGGTGAAGCTTCTTGTGGTGGTGGAGAGAAAACACCTCACCCCTTATCATAACACCTTAGAAGAACTAAAAATTTTCAGGTCCCTAAAAGTATCTCTGAAAACAGCTGTACAAACCCCCAAAGATTGGGACAGTACATTCTCCACATCGGAAACAGACTTTTACCTTAACAAAGAGTTTAAAACTACTTCAAATAATCATCTCCAGCTAAGCTTGAACATTCCCCACTCCTCACTTTCCTCCCTGTGGTTCCTGGCCTTTGCTAGGATACCTGGAATGGTCCCGGACCAATCTGTCTCTCCTACTGAAATCCTACTCACCCACTCAAGACCCATTTCAATCACCAACTCCTCTATGAAATCTTCCTTGACGTTACCAATAGGTGATTTTTTTTTTGCTCCATCAGACCTTGATTCTAACTTCATGCTTTTCTGACATGCTTATGATCAGAGAATCACAAATTTAGAGCAAGAAGGGACCTTAGAAGCCCTCATTTTGCAGATGAGGAAACTGAGGCATGGATAGATTAACTGACTCTTCCAGGGCTAGACACCCTAGGCAAGTGTCTGTTCTCCTTTTCTGCTTAGGATTCCTATCTCCCCTTCCAAATTCTAAGGAGGGCCAAAGGAAATACAGCTTATGAATCTTGTACTTGCCATGTTCTACCCAGCACATAGCAGCAGCGATGCATAGTAGGCATATGATAAAAGTTTATTGAACTAATGGTCCCTCAGGAAACCTCTGCCTGGAAGCAGAACCAGGAAAACATAATGCCCAAAACAATGGAAATGGTTAAGTATAACCACCAAAAACCACTGAAACTGTCTCAGAGGCTGTCTTCTCTGGCAAAAACCAGGCACAGCTTGACTGATACCCCTTACATCACCACAATGGAAACTGAATTTTGACACCAGGTATTCTATCTCCTAAGTGGCCTAGGTGTCCTCAAGGACAGCTAGACAAAGAACCTGAGGGCTGCATCTCCTTGTTATACGAAGCTAGGAATGACAACTTACCCAGAATGACACAATCTCATTGTTGGAAGGGACTCCAGAGGCCAATGACACCCAGTCACCCCCAACAAGTATCCCCTGCACATCATCCCCAGCAAGAGGCCATTTGGCCCCTCCTTGAAAAGCTCAGGTGAGGAGAAACTCACCACACCCCAGGCAGCTGACCCACCTTACTCACCAGCTCCTCCAATCAAGCCTAATCTGGTCTCTTTATAACTTTAAGCCATCATTAATACCTGTCTTCCAAGGGGGAGAGAAAACGAGTCCAATCTGTCTGCTACTATAATTGCGTCAAGCGCTTCACAACCATTTACCAAGTCCTATCCTTTGGGCAAGGTGAGGTTCTCATTGAATTTATCTGTTGAACTTGGGTGGGCCACCCAATTTTCCTCTAGCCTTTAGCTAGGAAAGATGCCAAGCATAGGCACACTTAAAATGTCGGAGCAGGAAGGGAGCTCAGGACAATCTGAGTCAGAACCAGGACTCCCCCCCAACATATTCCACAAGCGGTCATTCAGCCTTTGCTTGCAGACTTCAGCGAGGCGGAGCCCTCCCAACACAACCCATCCAACTCGGAGGTAATTGGCAGGAAGTTTTTCCTGACTTCAAACCTACATTTGCCTCTGAAAAGTCCACTCGTATCACTCCTATTTTTGCCCTCTGGAGCAAAGCAGAGTCATTCTGATGCCCCCTCCACAAGTTACGAGAAGACAGTTACGGTCCTCAAGTCTCAGAATATTGGCCCCCATTGCTTCCCAACAGGTCTGTCTAGGAAGAAATACCTATTTCTTTCTGACTTACTCCATTTAAGAGCCTTGACCTACAAAGAAATTTCAAGGCCGTAAAACATACGTGCAGCATGAACACCCGGGTCACAGACGTTATGGAAAGAATCCTAAGGCACAGATGGGCAGATCTAACTCTGCCACCTAGTAGCTATGACCATTAGACAAGGCATGATACCAGATCTGTTTCCTCATCTGAAAAATGAGGATAGTATTTACACTACCTACCTCTAAGGACTGTCCAAAACAAGTATCTTCTATCAGCTGGGAGTCCACGTGCTAGGACACAACCAAACACCCAATTAGAGGAACAAAAACAGACCTTACTGGAGATATTAATTGTTCATAGTTGGGCCTTGAAAATACTTTAAAATGACAATACCACCTTAGTTAATGTATTTGATGCCAAAGTTCTAAAGGGGTAACGTACAGGGCTAGGGGGAAAGAAATCATCTGACAAAACCGAAGATCAAGAATTTCAAGGAAAAGAATGACAAAAGGAAGAATGACCAGATCTCAAACTATACTTAAAAGCAGCCATCATGAAAATGGTTTCCTATTAGTTTGCCACTAACACGGAGGAGATCCAGGCCACAGAAACGTTGAAGAGTGATTGTCAATAGATGCAAAGGTCTTCCAAATGCTGCATCAAGATGGTGGCATCAAGCCCTGGAACATGACAGGGTTGGTCTCCAGGACAAGTCCCATACACACTCAAGAGTTTGGCCTAAATACCCACACTGGGAAAGCCAACTGGGTGAAAAATGTCTATCATCCAAAACATGACATGCGGGAAACGGTCAGAGCTGTGTTAGCCCAGGACAGGCAGAGGGGGGAGTGTTTGGCACGACTATTGTCGTCAGTCATCGGAAAGCCTGTTGTGAAAACAAGAGAATTCGGTGTATTCTGCTCGGTTTCCAAGGACAGAACCAGAACAAGGTTAGGTCCAGAGTGGTAGACTGTGCTCTGCCCCTTACTCTCCCCAGCTTCCTTCGGGCCTCTGTCCAAACCTCATCGTTTCAGGAGGCCTCTGCCACTTTCCCGTGCAGATTTCCCTCCTTTGCCCTGCCTACATCCGGCATATACCTAGTTACTTATGCCTGCCTCCCCTATTAAAATGTACACTCCTTGAGAAAGGGATTGTGAAGCTTTCTGGGCCAATTTTGGTATTCCTAGCACTTAGCACATAAATGCGTGATGAGCTAGCTCGACAGAAGGACTTCCAAAGAGTAAGAGCCCGCCCCAAATGGAGTGCACTACCTCCCACCTTGCTGAGTCCCTCTATCCCGAGAAGTCCAAATGGGAGGCTGGATGTCCACTGACTACGAAGGACAGTCAGGCGACAAGATGGAGGGGTTGGGCCACATGTCCTCCCACGCTCCAGGACCGTATGATTCTCAATACGAGTCCAGACACACGTAGCGCATGTGAGGTCAGAGCCGAGGGGTTTCAATTCAGTGTAAAGGTACACAGAACCCCACTTTAAGACAAACTTAAGAAAATGTGAGAACATCTTTCTTTTTATTAGATAGTAAGCTCTCCTGGTGTATTTCTAAAGATGACTCAATTGGTCAAGGGGTGATCACCACATCGGTTTCCCTTGACTGACAGCTTCAGTTTTCTCCCTATAAAATGAGTGTGTTGGGAGACTCATGTTCTCAGGGCCCTTCCCTTTGGAAGACCCCTGGACAGTTTGCTGCTGAGGGCTGGGCCCTCCTGGGACCCGGGAGGCCGCACAAAGAGAGTGCAAAGAGACAGACCACCTGGACTCTGACATCCGCCAGCTGGCTCTCTGAGCCTCTGTTTCCTTATCTAAAAAACAGGGAGAACAGTGTGCTACCTACTTTACCCAAAATGTTTTGTAAGCTTTAAAGTGCTGGCTCTTTGAATCCAGACCTGATTTCACTTCCCAGTGTGTCGATTGCCTTCACCAACGAAGGTGGGCCATTCATCTAGAACTCAGTCTTAGGGAGGTGCTGGGTGCCCGGAGAGAAAGTGACTTAGCCAGGGTCACTTGGCCAGTGTGGGTGAGAGGCAGGTCTGCAGGACTCCAAGGCCAGTCCTCTACCCACTCTACCACACTGCCCCCCGCAAACAGGAGGAGCCACTTATCACAGAGCTCCTCAGGGGACGGGGAAGGTGTTTGTTTCTCCCACCACAGCCACAGGAGGGCCGGCTTAACAAGAGAACAGTCAGCAGCAGAGCAAAAGGAGACGGAAGGAAGGACAGTGACAAGGCTGGTTTAAGAAGAGCACGTGTTTAATCTGCTTCAGAACACAAATTACCCAAAAGGGAAGGTCGCCTCCTCATGGGGAAGCAGCTCGAGAAGGCTCTCTGGCCCGCTCTGGGGCAGGGAGCGTCCCAGGAGCAACTCCCCGTTTCTCTCAGGTACTTCAGTAAGCGGCCCAAGAAATAAATTACATCTGTAGGAGCGCCAGGCTGCTGGGAATGGAAGACAGAATCACGCTGGAGTCTGAAAGGGGGACAGAGAGCAGGAAGGCCGGGCCCCCGTGCCCTCCTCCGAAGGCCTGGCTGGCCCGGGTTCTGCCAGCTCCTGCCACATCCTCAAGCCCCCTGCTGGTTGGTCTCGTCGCTATCCCGTCTCTTCCATATCTGTAACAGATGAGCACAGCGGCGTCCAGACTCAGCGTCTGCCCAGCTCACACACTCCCACTGCCTCCCATCCCACTTTCTTCCCCCCCCTTTCCCTCATTTCTTACTTCCCATTCCAAACTCCCTTGGGTCGTGGGCTACAAAGGAAGCAACCAAAGAAGAAGAAAAGAGGGTCCCTTCGCTCCTGCCCCCAGTGCAGTCATCCATCCGTCCCGTCCATCTGTCCAGCACTACGTCCTCAGGCCTCCTTCTCCAGAGCCCCCGGGGAGCCTGAGTCACTACACTTCCACCTCGATCACTCCCTCCCCTTCCCCTTCCTGTCTCTGGCCGGTGTGCTCTCCCCTCTTTTCCTCCATCCAGTCTCTCTCTGAGGGCATCACTCACACGCCCCATCTCCATTTTCCCTCTCCAGAGACCATCTGATCCAGCCTCCTCTCTCAGCCACGCTGGCCTCCAGTCTTTCTACTCTGGCTCCGCCCCCCCACTCTAATAGGATGGCTGCCCTGCAAGTGAATCATGTCATCTTCCAGCCAGACCCAACCCCCCGGGTTCCATCCCGCTCTCTGGCTTGTCTGTGGCATTTCACACAGGACTGCCACCCCCGACTTCCTCAAACTTCACGCTCCCCTGGCTCCTTCACTAATCCTTGGTCTTTCTGACTAACCCTTCTTCGGTACCACTCCTCAGTTCAGGGCCAACCCCAACTTAAGGGCCTACGACCTAATTCTTCAACCGCCCTTGCTCTTACCTGTCCTACAACAATAGAAGGGAGGAGGGGGGCACACTCCTTGTTCCCCATGGTTATTCCCACACTGTTCCCCCACAGCTCTCTGTCGATAAGCTTTTCCCTCCCTCCACCAAGTGATCCATTTTTCAACCGCAACAACTCTCCAAGCCTGTGTCCAAGGTGAGGGAAGGGCTGTGACCCGTGCTGGCAGAAGAGCCACACTGAAGAAATCATGATCTCTGAACAGTCAGGTACTCCACCATCTATACCAGCCATCCGGCCCAATCCATCCAAGTGCACTCCTCTGCCTGGCTTTGGGAGTCACAACTGGGCTCTACCCAACTGAATCCGACTTCATCTCTCGACCCTCCCAAAACCCAGCCCACCCTGCAGTCAAGCCAATCGTCTCATTCTCCCCCGAACCCAACATACCCACTGCCACCTCCAAGCCTTTACCCATGAGGTTCCACTCCTCAGGAACGTCCTCCCTGCTCCCTACGGCCTAGAGAAATGCTACTGACCCTACAATGGCTGGCCTGAGCCCCACACTCTCTCCATTCTGACTCCCGCCAGCCATCAAGGACTCCCCTCCTGCTTTGGCGCCCACAACAACGTACTGCATTCAACACTAACACACACCACCATTGTCTGTCTGTGAGGGCTTCACATACGCAGTGTTCATAAGAGCTGGCAGAGTGTGGTCCTCGCTAAGCCTTCTCTCTAGTTATGTTTTAAGTTCCTTGAGGTAAAGAGGGTGTCCCATATGTCTCCTGCATCCCCTTCACTTGCCCAGCACAGATGTGGATGCACAGCAGCGCTCAAAGACTTGCTGGCTGACTGATTCTGAGCTCAGTTAGTTTAAGGTCACTCTTCTTAAATGCACGAGGCCCCAGCCGCCAATCTCTCATCATCTGCACTGACTCCAGGTAAAGGAGACAATCATACACTCCTCACTTCTATGCAACACGGAACAGAGATGCACAGTTATGTCTCCAGGTTGTTCAGCATCTAAGCTGAGGCATGCATGCAGGGACCGCTCAGCATGCAATGCTGTTGGGAGTTCTTTGCAGCCACCCCTACCTGGATGTAGGCCTCTGAAAGTGTGATCATCTGGGGCAGGATGTCAGTGACTTGCAGGTCCTGGAGTTCATACCACTTGCCTGTCCCCTGAGGGGGGGGGAGAGAAGCAAAAAGCAGGGCTCATCAATCCCCAGAAACCAAAAGGGTGCAGTAATCACAGAGCTGGGAACAAAGTTCAAAAAAAAAGCCAGACTACAGAGAAAACAAAAAAGAACGCCCCAAGCAAGAGTCAAACATGCAGAGCCAGCGAAGGGAGATGGACATCTGCTGGATCCCGTCCAGGCCAAGGGGCTCTGGGGCACAGTCATGCAAGTCTTACTAATCTAGGCCCTCCCCTTTACTGTTCCAGAAATCCCATCATGGACGTCAAGCCAATGTGGGTCAAGCCCAGAGAGAAGCTCCCTCTCCCTCTTTTTCTCACTGGGAACTCCTGATCCTGCCCCCTCCGCATTACCAGATATGTTTCTGACAAACTCAGCTGGGAAGATACGTGATGCCAACCTGGGTAACCGCCGACCGATGCGCGTGAGGGAAAGGCCGAGAGTGGACAGAACGCGCCTCATTCCAGGGAACAGAGAGTAAAGGACAGGGAAGGCCACCGTCCTCACTTGTTCTCGGGAGCGGCAGTATGACTAAGGCCGTGATGCCAGGTCCCTGGGCACTACCCAGAGCAGGTCTGTTTCTACTGAAGAAACAAGTCATGGCCCGGGCTCCTAAGAGGCATCAGCAACAAGAATCATGTGGCTGTGATCATTCACGCTGGCTGAGAAGCCTGCGTATTCACAAAGCTGGGAAGGTCTCCTGGCCTTCTGGCTCAAGAAGCAGAGATCACACCCTAGGCTAACTTCCAGTCGAGCTCACAGCAAACACAGGCTTTGGTGACCGCCCCCCCTCCGCGCCAGGCCATCTCCCTGTCAAGAAAGCCAAGGGGCTGCTGGCCTACTCCCCATCAGGCAAGCTGGCACTCACGTGGTGAAGCACATGAATCCGGTAAGAGCCCTCGGTGGGCTTCCCGTCATGCACGATGTTGGCGATGAGGTCATAGGTGGTGTTCCTGTGCACAGCCTGAACTTCCTCAGACAGATATTCCCTCAGGTCCACATTTCTGAAGCCAGAAACAGCATTGAACAAAGGTTAGGCAGAGGACGGCACATCCACCATTAACAGAACACAGACAAGGGAACCGCCAAGGCTCCCTGGGGGTCTACGGGAGCGCCCGCTCTTGGGAAGACTCTAGCAGAATATTCCACGGGGGTCTTCCCTCGTCCCACCACCCCGCACTAGGACCACCAGGGCACACAGTTTACCACAATAAACTCAGAGTGAACTCAGGATCTCAATTCTAAGGCAAAGCCTAAAATAAGTAAGAAGAGAACCAGATCAAGCACTTTTCACAGCTCCCAGTTAGGGGAAGAATTCTCAACCAAAAAATGATCATAAAAAGTAAGTCAAGTCAAGAAACATTTCTTAAGCACTGCCTCTCTGCTAGGCACTGAACCACAACTATGGAGACACCGGAAACGGACAAGATAAACTGCAGATAACCAACAGAGGGAGGGCCCTGCCATTCGTGGGCATCAGGAAGGGCTTCTGGTCAAAGGAGTGACCCAAAGGGAGCCAGGGACATCAGCAGACACAGACAAGAGAATCCCAGGCATGGAGGATGGCCAGTGAAAATGCAAAAAGGCAAGAGATGGAGTGTCACTGGATCCCAGTGTGCTTGGAGGAGTGAGCTATAAGGAGGACAGCTAGGTGGTACCATAGTGCACAGAGCAGGGATGGGGGACCTGAAGCCTTGTGGCCTTGTAGGTCCTTGGGTGTGGCCTTCTGACTGAGCCCAAGTTTTACAGAACAAATCTTTTATTAAGGAGATGTGTAAGGTGAAGTTTGGATTCAGTCAAAGGGCCGTACTTGAGGACCTAGAGGGCCACAGGTTCCCCGCCCCTAGCATAGACCACTGGGCTTAGAATCAGGAAGATTCATCTTCATGGTTTCAAATCTGGCCTTAGACACTTACTAGCTATGTCACCCTGAGCAAGTCACTTAACTCTGTTTGCCTCAGTTTCCTCATCTGTAAAGTGAACTGCAGAAGGAAATGGCAAACCACTCCAGTGTCTTTGCCAAGAAAACCTCAAATGGGGTCACAGAGAGTCAGAAATGACTGAAATGACTGAACAACAAAGGTATACGGAAGACTGGAAAAGCAGGACGGGGCCAGGTGATGAAAGGTTCTGAATGTCAAACAGAGGATCTCGTATTTCACCTTGGAAGTGATAGGAACCACTGGAGTTTACTGAATAGGAAGGTGGCACAGTCGGACCTGAACTTTAGGAAAACCAATCTGACAGCTGAGCGGAGGATGGATTGGGAGTGGAGGATGTAAGCCAGGGCGACTGGAAGGATTGTGGTGGTTTCAACAGGAAGTTGGAAGGATCTGGGGGAAGGATAGGGAGCTCAGTTTTGGACACGTGGAGTTTAAATGTCTACAGGACACTTGGTTCAAGATGTCCAATGGGCAGCTGGAGATGCAAGACTGTAGATCAGCAGAGAGACTAGGGCTGGACCAGAGATCTGAGAAGCATCTGCACAGAGATGACAACCGAATCTGCAGAAGCTGATGAGATCACCAAGAGAAATGGCATAGAACCCAGGACAGAGGGTTTGGGGGATGCCCACAGTGAGCGGGTACAGACTTTTGATTATATAAACTTGAAAAACTCACATAAGAACAAAACTAATGCAACTAGAATAAGAAGGGAGGGCAGCCGACTGGGGAAAAATTGTGTGTATCAAGTATCTTTGATAAGCGTCTAATACCCAAGATACGTAGGGAGCTTTAACAAATCTATAAGACCAAAAGCCATTCTCTAATGAATAAGTGATGCTGCTGCTGGTAAAAATAATAATAATCAGCTAGCATCTGTGTACTACCTACTGTGTGCCAGGCACTTCACAAATATCTCATTTGATCCTCACAACAACCGTGGGAGGTAGGTGTTGTTATTAACCCATTTTACAGACCAGGAAACTAAGACAAACAGGTTAAGTGACTTGCCCAAAATCATACAGTTAGTAAGTGTTTGAGAATGGATTTGAACTCAGGTCTTTCTGACTCCAAGCCCAGCACTTTATCCACTGGCTTGCCTCTTAAAAATATATAAGAGATATAAACAGGTAGTTCTCAAAAGAAGAGTCAAACTATTAATAATCATATAAAAAACTGCTCCAAATAATTAACAATAAGAGAAACATACAACTACTCTTGATGTTTCACTCCGAATGATGCATCTGGCAACAATGACAAAAGGCAGGAAGTTAATGTTGCAGACACAGGCACATTGATCCACTATCAGAAGAACTACAAAGCGGTCTGACCACTCTGAAAATTACACTCAGTGACTAAAATGTCAATCCTTTTTAACCCCAAGATCCCACGAGCAGTTATACAGGCTTCCAGGAGGTCAAAAACAAAAAGAAAAGTCTCTTCTACAGCAAATATTTATAGCAGCATTTTTGTAAGAGCAAAGAAGCAGAAGCAAAGTTGAGGCCCAGCAAAAAACAACAGCAGCATGTGAATCAGTGCATAGTCTACTGTGCTGTAAGAAATGAACACAAAAAATACAGAGAAGCATGGGAAGATTTACATGAACGGATGTAGAGAAAAGGAAGCTGAACCAGGAAAACAATGTGCACAATATCTCTAATAATGTAAATAACAACCCAAACAGAGGAACAAAAAAGAGCAACGCGTGAGAATGTGTCTCCCTCCACTAGGTATAATGCTGGACTTGGCTGATGGGTGACATTTGTTGAACTGAGTTTTTGGTATATTTTTTTAAAACTCTTTGTTATAAGGGATGGCTTTCTAGAAGAAGAAGGAATATACTGGAAAATCTGAGCAATGTAAAAAAAATAGCAATTTTAAAAATTTAAAAGAAAAAGATGATTAAGTAAATAAAAGTTTGGGGATTTTTGAGTCACTCTGGATACTGTCGGGCAAGTGACCTGTCAGATGCTAAAGGAGCTGACTTAAGGAGTAATCCAAGTCTTAAGAACAGCTGCTAAGGCACGCCTAAACAAGCCCAGGGCAAATGCCAGGGAGTCTAACTCCTCAGAGTGAGACCCATGGGCTCCAAAGTTCTTGTGGACCAGCTGGGGAGCCAAACAGGGAAGGGGAAAACATCAGTTTGATCTCTTCTAGTTCCATTTAGTCTGAGAAAAGAGGAAGGACACTGGCCCTCATCTTCACACCGGCTAAGAGAACAAGCCAAGCCAAAGAAGAATCACTAACTGGTTAAAGAAAAACTGAAGCCCTAAGCTCTTTCAGGGCAGAGCTGTGAAGCTTGAACAGGGCAGACTTTAGTCAGGAGAGCCAAGTCATAAATATGCTGAAGCTGGTGATGGTTTGACAAAGCTCTGCGAGAACATCGGCAAACTTCTTAAAAATAAAGAGGAGGGGAAGTACTAATTAGGTCCAGACTGCTGTTGAGAAACTAAAAAAGCTGGTTAATTTATGACTATTGGGTTCAAAAAGTGATTTCCTAGTTGCACTTATCCAGAACTAGTTAAACATTACTCATGCTGTTAGTCTCAGTTGACAGGTAAAGTTTTCTTGGCTACCTGTGTATGGGGGGGGGAGGGATACAGTCAGAAAAGAAAGTAATGTAAAAATACAAGATATCAAAAAATTTTTTAACTTTTTTGTTAAAGGGAAAGATGAACTACATCTAAAGTTCTATACTTTGTAAGTAATCAGATGAGTATTTAAGAAAAGTGGCACATTCCTTCAACTCTGCAAGGATTGTGGCTAAAAGGCAATACTGTGTAGGCCCCAGCCCTACAAACTGCATCAATGGGCAAAGCAAGCAGAAGGAATGACGGCAGACAATGCAGCCCATAAGGGACCATGTTGTGGATCTGCCCAAGAAGGCAAAGTGAGAGAGAACCACCCCCCTTCTGGCCCCAGCCTCCAGCCTGCCTCCTTTGGTCCAGCTCCCCTGTCCACTTCTCTATTCAGTCCCTCAGGCAGTCACTCTCTCATCCAATCTCCCCATTCTGCAGATGACTGTGCCGAGGTCCAGGCTAACGGACTAATCAGAGTGTTTGTCTGGAGGCAGCCCAATGGGCATTAGAATCTCAGTGTAACACTCTCCACTGTGCCAGGCAATCAGGGAGTGTCCCCAAAGTCCTAGTGCAGTTTCAAGTTTTGATAGCTTAAAACTTCAGGGATACCTTCAGAAAGAGAGGAAATAGATTAAAACCAGTTATAGGCAGCAGCCAACAAGAAAGGCAGTGAGAACAACCTTTTTTCAAGGCTGAAAAAAGGAAAAAAAGTAGAAGAATTTGCCCATTTGAAAAAAGGGAAGATTAGTATCCTTAATAAAACTGAGCTGCAGAAGCCATTCTATCTGTTAAAAGCTATATATTTACTGATCAAAATCTAAATAAAACTATATGTTAGGGGAAAAAGGGGAAAGGGGGGGGTGTGAGTTGGGGGGAAGAAGAGAGCACTGTGGTTCTTTCTCAAACAGCAACCAGGCTGTTTCCTTATTTTTCTTGAGATGACTCAGCGATAGGAAGTTTTTAAATAAGGAAATGAATGATGGTGCACTTTGTCAAATGGGATCATATTTGTAAGGTGCTTAGCACAGTGCCTAGCACGTAGTAGGCACTATATAAATGCTTACTTCCTCCCCTTACCCCCTTTTGTCGTGCTACTGCTGGGAACACCTAATCCTGGGGACTGCAGACTAAGTGCAGAACAGACAACTACATGCAGATCAAAGATGGCAGCTCCACTGGGCGAGCCTCCTAACCCAATCTCTCTCCCTTAGACCACAAGTGGCCCAGCCCAGCATGCCAAGAGAATATAAAACAGCAAGAATTCAGTGAATGATGCTAAAATGCGTCCTACCAGGCTACACTCCTCTACTGTACCTAGTTCATCAGCATGATGTGCTCCATGGTTCATCCACATCTCTGCAATAATAAGCTGTTGTACAACAGAGTTCTAATGACTGACTACATGGAGTCCCGTGTTTCTTTTACCAAGTTCAGTCAACAAGCATTTATTAAGCTCTTACTACATGCCAAGCCCTGTGTCACCAAGGAGCTCATTCCTGACCTCACAGAGACAGCCTGAAGAGCTCAATCATTGTAGGTTGAGGCAGAGAGAAACCTCCAGCCAATCCAACACAAAAGGTGAGAACCAACACTTGTGACAAACCCACCAGCCTACAAAGCTCCCAGGGGGCCTGCACTTCTAGCCCCTTAATTCAAAACCACAAGTCCTCTCTCTTGTCTCAACCACCCCAAGCCAGGATGTTCCTTCCTCTGACTGAATGGTCAGGACGAATCCTGGCAGGACATCCTTTACTCTGTTAATTATGAAAATTCCCATTCTGAATGAAGAATCTGCTGAAAGGTTAGATAACTACAAGGCAATTTCCATACAAATATTAACTAAAAAAATCCATCGTGTCTAACGCTCTTGACGGAAAGGAGGAGGGAAGATCAGAGAAGATGCAAAGGACTGTTACCCACGTGATGGGGAAGTTGACGATGGTCGGGTTCTTCTCCACAAAGAAGTTGTTCTTCGTGAACCTTTTAATACAAAAGATAAGATACGGGGGCAGCTTGGTGAGCTGGAAGCGCTTCAGAAAGTTCTCCTTGTACGTCTTGTATTCCTGAGGAGAGGAGAGAGAGTGAGCTCGTGAGTGAAGAGTCCTGGAAAAGGAAGGCAGACCCTCAGCAAGAAACGCACAGCAAGCAAAGGGGGATCACAGATTGAGGGCACAGAGGATTCTTCAGGCTAAGTCCAAGCCCCCTTGTTTTACAGTTGAGGAAACTGAGTCCCAAAAGGATTGTTAATTGTATGGAACAATATAAGAGGCTAAGGACTAGCAACATGGTTTGAGGCTATGGAAAAATCTAAGCTGGTCTTCAGCTGCTCCAACGGAAATGCAGGGTTCAAATTATGCTAAATAATAATTTCATTACTCCCACTATTAGATAGTGTACAGTTCTGTGTAGATTTAAGGTGGACCCTGACAAACCAGGGGAAAGTAAACATCCAGAGGAAAGTAAACAGGTTGGTCTGAAAACTACATCAACATGAAAAACAGCTGAAGGAATCAGTGGTGTCAAGTCTGGAGAAGAGGAAACCCAGGGGAGACCCTCCTGGAAAGACTTCTGTGTTGTTTCTCAGGGGAACACTAAAATCAAGGGGCGATAATTACTAGGAAGCAGATTTTAATTCAATGTGAGGATGAACTTCCTAACAATTCGCATATCTAAGAATGAAATAAACAAGCAGTGAGCTCCCTGGAAATATTCCAGCACAGAATCTTGCATTATCAGGTGGAAGGCTGGACTAGATGACCCTTCAGGGTCTCCCCAAGCTCAGCGGCTACGATTCTGAAGTGGGATGAAGCCAGCCCACCCACGATCAGTAAACATCTAACATGCACAGCAGAGGCATAAAAGAAATAGAAGACACTATTCCTGCATTCAGAATTCATAGTCCGGCGGAAATAGACACAAGTGCGCATAAGAACATTGAGAAGCAGCACATCAGCAAGCTCAGACTGAGCACAAAAGGGCTTTCAAGCGGAAGAGAAAGGGAGCCCTCGGAGGCCAGTCCAGAGAGGGGAGAAGGCTTCTCAGCCAGCACGCTGCTGACCGGCACAGCCGGTGACAAGGCTGGTAGGGCCTCTCCAGGAGGGCCAGGGGAGAAGAGTGGTACACGCAGAAGCAGAAACAACAAACGAGGGCCTTGGACTAGGCTAGGACGCTCAGCAATTAGGGTCCAATTCTAACCAGCGAGGTGACCTTAAGCAAGTCCCTCCACCTCTCTCTGACCCGATCTGCCCTTCTGTTACACTAATCAAAGTGTATCAACCATTACCCATACGATGAAACAAGTTTAACATCTTCAAGAATTACTGTAAATCATTAATGTGTGCTGGCACTGTGTAACAGGGAGCCAGACAATCCACACTGTAAATGGTAACCTGAGCTGGCCCTACAGAGGTCTAACGGCCAGCAGACTGGCTGCCAGCTGGCCGGAGAGGAAACAGAGGCCAAACAAACACTGGTTAAAGGCCATGCATAAAAAAAGAAAAGCATGGTTTCACATAGAAATCGTCCTTTTCTGTTCTACTTTGTACTTGGAAAATGTTCCTTTTTGGGATTAGCATGTGAAGATCAGAACAAAAAGGGAGCCAAGTAAAATGGGACAAAATCCCAATTTTTTTCAGGTTACACATGTACGATCTTGTTAAACGTATTTCCACATTTGTCATGTTGTGAAAGAACAATCAGAACAAAAGGGAAAAACCAGGAGAAAGAAAACACAAAAAAATGTGAAAACAGTCTGCTTTGATCTGCATTCAGACTCCACAGTTCTTTCTCTGGGTGTAGATGGCATTTTCCACCAGACTTTTGGAACTGTCTTGGATCCCTGCATTGCTGAAAAGAGCTAAGCCTATCAAATTTGACCGTCGCACAGTGTGGCTGTTACTGTGTACAATGCTCTCCTGGTTCTGCTCACTCCACTCAGCATCAATTCATGCAGGTCTTTCTATGTCAAAATCCCAATGTTAAAGAATAAAAGGGTAGATGGGACACAAATGGACGAAGAAGGGCGTGACCCCAAGGACAAATGGTTAACTGGAGGTGAGAGCAGCCAGTTTCCTGAGTTTGTTTACAAGACAAACGGGGCAGGTCAAGGATTCCACAGCAGCGGCCCAGAGTAATGAGGGGCCTCTTCATATTTCGAATGAGGCAGAACCCGAGCTAGATGGAGCTTCAGAGTAAATTTGTTCCACCCATGCCTAAGCCAGAATCCCCATGACAAAATAAAAACAGGAACCCAGCCAGCCCCCAGGGGACCTCCCATTCCACTTTTGGACAGCCCTGCCCTGGTTTAAAATTCTGTCCAGACATTCAGCCTCTATTACTCCCAGGTCTGTCCTCAGAGACCACAGACCCACCCTCCAAACATCTGAAGGTACTGACCATGTTCTTTGTTTCTCAGTTCCTTCAGCTCACATGCACATGACACGGTCTCCCATTCGCCCAGGACTGAACAGAACATGCCACATGCGGTGTGGCCAGGGCCAAACCCAGAAAGTCAGTCCTTTCCTTGCTCTTGGCACCTGTCTGCCAAGGTCACAGTGATGCTCATAGCTGCCCCATCACTGGTGACCCATACTGACCACATCTCATCCACACAAGCTTCTATTTGGCCAGGCCCCTTTCCTGCTCTACTTACAGAGCTGATGTTTTTTCAACCTTAACAGAGGAGTTGGCATTTATTTCTATTCAATTTAATTTTATCAGATATGAGCCGTCATCCAACTTGTCAAGGTTTTTTTTAGATCTCACGTCTGCTCTCAGACACACCGACTCCCTCTCAGTTCTGCGTCATCTGGAAATGTGATGATTAATGAATGGTACCAGGCCCTGTGCTAATAAACCCCAGGCATACAAATACAAGCAGGACTGCCCTCATGGAGTTCACATTCTAACAGGGAAGACAACCATAAAGGGAAACTAGAAAATGGGAGCGTGGGGGAGGGAGTAACATGGCTTTAAAAAATGGCCAGGAAGCATCACAGTGGCCTGGTTCTAGGTAAGATAAGCCAAAGCTCACCTCTCGGTGCTCAGAATTCCAAGAGCAGAGAAACATTTCATCTACGCCTTCATCTAAAAGACTGACAAATGCCCAGGGCCAAGAACAGCTCTCTGGGGTACTGAATCTGAAGCTACCTCCAGGTTCACAATGAACCACTAATGACCATTTAGGTCCAGTCATTCAACCAGTTCTAAATGTACCTAACCACAGTTACTGCCTAGTCAACATTTCTCCATCGGGTCCACAAGGACCACATGAGAAACTCTGCCAGAAGCCTAGCTAAAACCTAGGCAGACAAGACCCACCACAAGCCCCTGATTTACCAGTCTACAAACAGCAGTGAAACAGGAAATGAGGGCAGTCTGGGGTGACCTGTTCTGGAAGCCATGAAAGCTCTCAGCCTTCACTGCTTCCCTTTCTAAATGCTCACAAATCATGTCTTCCATCACACATTCTAGAATTTTGCTAGGAGAATTTAAGTTCACTCAGCTCTAGTTAGAAAGGCCCCACCAATATGCTAACCTACCACTAGCTGGTGGATGGCAAAAGCACACCAGAGGGTAAAAGCACTTAAGCTGCCCCCAAAAGGAGATCGTAAGCAGATTTGCCGCACCACCCCCTGCCAAAATATTGCTACAACCTGGCTCCCACAAGAGTTGAGAGAATGAATAACTGAACCCCAACACTTCACAATCATGGCGCCATGTAAATATACTGCCCCAGGTACAGAGGAGGAGGAATCAGAAGGAGCCCTTCAGAAGGCTCCCAAGGTCACCTTTTCAGTGATGCCGTTGAACTTGGCCAAGATGTTGAAGAGCGGCACCTGGGGGATGATGAGCTGCTCCTTCTCATCCTTGTAAAGTGGGGCAGTGGGAAGGTCCAAGGTCAGGTACATGAAGGTGGACTCAACCATAGTCTCCTGGTACTCGTCATTATGAAGTAACTGTTCTTTCTCTTCTGCTGGCTAGGAAGGAAAGGAATGAGACAGGACATGTGGGAGCCCAACCGAGGTCCAGAAACAAATCCCTCAAGGGTAGGTAGGGCCTTGACAAGAGAAGTCCCCGAGAAACTATTAATCTCTCACCAAGTGTAGCTCAGCCTGACTCAGAAATAATTTATGAAACCTCGTCTGGTACTACAGTTCCAAAAACACTTGCACCATCTGCTTCGTAGTGGGAGGAAAGCACTGGAGAACTGTAAGCTGGTGCTACAACTATCTGCGGTGGCTTTGTTTATCTAGCAAAAGAAAAACCATACTCTACTCCAGACCCCAACAGAAATCATAATGGAACATACAGAAACCCCCAGTGGTGGACCTCACAAAGCTCTTTCTAATCAGCACAGCTATCCACTCACTAAATCCCCTCACCAAAGGGCTGAGATAGTCAGAAAGTACTGATCAGCCAAAACGTTCAGCCTATAATTAGGCATAAAACAGGACAGCCAAGTTCAACCAACTTACCAAATCTGGGTGTGGCAGTTTCTTAGTGAAGATTCTCATGGACCCCTGGAAAACATCTGTCACAATAGCTGCAGAAATGAATAGCAAAATACAGATTAAATGAGGCAGGAGAGAGCATTTCCAAGTTCTTCAAACGTCCACTTTTAAAAATGATTTTGGGAACAAGCTCTATTTCTTCCAACAGCCTAGGACAAAAAGCTGTGACTATAGTTACATGAAAGCAATAATGAAAATATGCAACATCAAAGCAATGTTCCATAACCACATCTTCCATGCAAGGAAATGACCACTCTGCACTGAACGCAAAAAAAAAGATTACAGAAATAGAGAGAATGTAATCACTACAATGATTTAAATGAAAAGGTCACTAAAAGGAAGCTGGATTCTGGGCAACTGGAAAACCAGTGATGGTCCTGAGAACCAAAAAGGAAATATCCCTCCCCCTTCTCCGCCAGTGTCAGGGGACTACCAAGCCAGAAGACATCGCTCTATCGGGTATTTTTGCTTATTGGGTTTTTTTTTATTACGAGGAAAAATTCACTCTGCAGGGTTGTAGGAATTATCTTTTATAGAAATGATGGAGATGTGAAGACAAAAGACATCAATAAAACGCTTTTGTTTTTAAGAAAGAAGGTCGCAGGTCGATCCCAGCCCAAGCTAAATACTTCACCTTGCTAGTTCGGTACACAGAGCTTTCAAAGACCTTGTAGAGACGAGCCAAGGCCCCAGATAAAAGGCTCAAGGGGACTCATGGAAATAGTGCTGCCGAGTCACTCTCTTTGTGACCTCAGACGTGGCACTTGGCCTCTTGGGGCCAAAAAACCCTCATGTGTTCATTACACGTGGAGATTGTGAGTGGCTGTGAAAGTGCCTTCAAAATGGCTATCATAATTAGAATATTTGATTCCAATAACTACTGGAGAGGACAGTAAAGCCACAATGACGCTGGACATTCCACTCCAAGGTCTCGAAGAGCGGAAGACTTTATTTTCATTAGTCCTTGTGAAACGTCCCTTTCTTAGCTACCCACGCTACATGCCACATCAATGTCAACTGTTAAGGTGCAGAAAACAACATTCTGAAATGTAAGATTAACATCAGCATCACTTCCCCAAGTAAAAATAAAGTAAGAAAACAGCAGGAATTAGTTTTTTGATTGTTCTTACTAGTAAGCAGCAACCTGGTAGTTCAGTTCTGATTTACTCCAGCAATTACGGTTCCTTTACAAAGTGAAATGCATCAGCTCACCAATGTTATTTCCTTACTTCTGGAGCTTTGAAAGGTGCCTTCCACCCCCCAAATCAGATTCCAGTACAACATAACAAATCTCTAAGTGGGAAGAGGTCTTAAAGATGGTCTAGTCCAAGGAGAAGTGACATGGCCAAAGCAAGGCAACAGCAGACAGGGGTGGAGCCCCAGTGCTCTCCTCCTAGGCCAGTGCCCTCTCTCCCTCTATGCTTCATGATCCTCTTGGGTCAGGGAGCCAGGAATAACCCTAGAACGTCAGACAAAGCACTGGGGATCTAGCATCAGAGCTTTGAGAATCCCCTCCCGCATCGATTTCAGCTCCACTTGATACGTTCACAAGAAAGGGACCCCATTCTGAAAGCTAGCAGCCCAGCCAGAGAAGAAGGGCCCAAGCTCACAGTCCTGGAAGTCAACAGAACAAAAGGGAAGCTCTTTTTACCAAGACCACAACTTACTCTTCTTTTTCTTCTTTGTCCCCCCGAGAGCTGAACGCAAGGCATTCAGGAACCAGGAAAGAAAGTCTACCCCATCACCTGCAAGGAAAGAGACAGAAAAGGTCAGACGGGAATCACAACCATGTCTTCCACAAAACACAAGTCAGCCAATACATGGTAACTAACTACTACATACCCAGGACTGTTAGGTGTTACGAGGAGGAGAGACGCACATCGACCCAAAGAACGCACTGATCAATTCACAGAGATTGAAAGCTACAAGGGACCTTGAAGCTCAGGTAGTTCAAACTTCTCACTTAACAGATAAGGTCACAGATGAGGGGCAGGGACCAGGTTATTGAACTTGGCCAAGACCCCCCCCAGATCTCCTGACTCCCCCACCCAAAGCTTTCTCCATTATGTAACAGGGCCCTAAAAGGGGAGGGCAGTAACAGACCTAGGCCTGCCTGCTGAGAAGCTTGACTTGAGAGGGGAAAAAATACCATGGCCCAATCCTGGGCTGAAACACACTGTACTCTCATCTGATTTTTTTTTTTAATGTACCAAATTACAGAAAGAAAGACAGACCTAATTATTAGGAGAAGTGGCAAATTGCTCCTAAGTACCAACCTAATATAATAAAAATCACAATACCTAAATTAATTTATTCAATGCCATACTAAACTACCAAAGAATTATAAAGCTAGAAAAAGTAATAATGAAATTAATCACAAGGAACAAAAGATCAAGAAATTCAAAGAAAACAAGGAGGTGAAAAAAGTGGGAAAGAAGGGGTCCTAGCAGTACCAGATCTCAAACTATATTACAAAATAGTAAGCATCAAAAAAACTGGTACTCCTTAAAAAAAGAGAAATGTCAATGAGTGGAACAGATTACATACACAATATACAGAAACAAACACAGAGGGGCCTAGTGTTTGACGTGTCCGAAGAGTCAAGTTACAGAACTAAGAACTCCCTATCTGACAAAAGTTCCTGGGAAAAATGGAAAGCAATTTGGGAGAAATTATATAGACCAACATGTCACGCAATATATTAAGATAAGCTCCAAACGTGGATACATTATTTAGACATTAAAGGTGATGGCATAAACAAATTAGAGTGCAAAAAAAGGAAGTATCTTTCTGCTATATGCATAGAGGAAAAGTTTCATGACTAACAAGGAATAGAGAGGATCACAGAAGATAAGATAGACAAAATTCAACATGCAGAACTTTCAAAGTTTTGAATAAAACTAATGCAGCTAAATTAAAAGGGAAATAGGTAAACAAGAAAAAATATTTGCAGAAAATTTCTCTTTTAAGGGTATCACTTCCATAATATATAAGGAACTGATTCATATCTATGAGAATAAAGGTCATTCCCCAATTGATAAATGGTCAAAGGATATGAAGAGGTAGTTTTCCAAGGAAGACATCAACCACACTATCAATAGCTACATGAAAATATGCTACAAATCATTAATAATTTGGGAAATGCAAAATAAAGCAATTCTGAGGTTCCATCTTACACCCATCAGATTGGCAAAGTTGATAAAAATGGAAAATGACAGACGTCGGAGGGGCTGTAGAAAAACAGGCACATTAATGCACATTAGTGAGGACGTGAATTGGTACTACCATTCTGGAAAACAATTTAGAACTATGGCCCCAAAATTACTAAACTGTGCCACTGTATGAGCAAACAATACTACTACGAGGCCTATACCCCAAAGAGATTAAAGAAAGAAGAAAAGGACCTATAGATACAAAAATATTCACAGCATCCTTTTTTATAATAGCAAGAACTAGAAATCAATGGGGTATCCATCAAATGGGAAATGGTTGAATAAATTATGGTATCTGAATATAACGAAATATTATTATGCTGTAAGAAATGATGAAAAGGATGGTTTCAGAGAAATCTGGAAAGACTTATATGAACTGATACAGAGTGAAGTGAAGCAGAACCAAGAGAACAATTTATATATTAACAACATTACAAAGAAAAATAACTCTCCGAATGTCATAAAAATTCTTATCAATGCAATGGCCATCCATGATTCTAGAAGACCGATGATGAGGGATATGTGACAACTAGAGTGTAGAATGAGATATACTTTTTGGACACACCTACTGGGGAAATTAATTTTGCTTGACTATGTATATGTTACAAGGGTTTCCTTTTTTTTTTATTTGTAAATGATGAAGGAAAGGAGGGAGATATTAATTTATGTTCACTGAAAAAAACATTTATATATATATAATTTGTTTAAATGCACAGAAGAGAACAGAAGGAAAGCTTGAAAGAATCACAAACAAGCAGGACAGCTTTGAAAGTACAGGTTGATTATATATACATATATATATATATATATATATACTTTTTTTTCCTAAAAGCAAGCTGTACATAAAGCTCTACCATTTCATGTCTTCCCTTCTATAATACATATAGAAATGCCCATTTTATTTAATGTTTGAGTTCAGAATGGAAGTAAAATTTTAAAATAAGCCAAAGTGCTTTCACAATTTCCTCTCCCTTGTCTTTATTTCTATTCCTAGAGATGATGTCCAGGGCAGAACAAAAGAGCCCAGCTGCACCAAGGCTTCTCTGAAGTTCCCTCACCCGCTTTAAGGGTTGGACAGTCACCGAACAAGCATTACCAAGCACCCACACAAAGATGACCTTTGCCACTGTTCTTGGCCAGGGAGGGCTAAGAACAAGGAAGCCACCCAGAGCCCGAAAACATTTCCCTGACCCTCCCTCCAGGTCGCTGGGATGACTCAGGCCCGGAGCATCAAAGCCTCCTCCCATCAGCTACTGTTCCAAGATGCTAAATGGTCATGAGAGTTCCTGGGATTGGTGCTTATTTACAAACCTGCTCCCCCTTCTATACCTGTAACCATCCCCCACCAGAGTCTTCTTTACCACAGATTTACCTGGCACCCACAACCTGTTAACCTCACTCTCTTTCAATGAAGGCCCTGAATGGCAGCACATGACCCTTTCCACTAAAGTCCTTTCTTCCCAACAATCCTATGTGGCAGGGGACACACGACTGCTGCCCAAATGGACCAGGGGGATGGGCGGCCTCAAGAGATGCTGGGCACCCCCTCCTTGGAGGACTCCCAACAAGAGCCTGCATGCCTAAATTTGTCAGGCATATTAGAGAGGAGAGCCCCTCCAAGTCTGAGCTGGCCTATCGACCACCTAAGTCCCTTCCAACTCTCAAACCACGATTCTCTAGCATAAGAATGATGTCTGTAAAACGAGGAACTAGCTACAGAGACAGGTAGTGACTTATCCAGAGTCGTATCACTAGATCCAAGCCAGAAATGTTTGACTTCAAGTCTGGGGCTCTCCCCACTGCCCCACACTGACTCACTCTCATCAAACCAGGGCACTCAGTGCATAAACCGCTGGGCTCAGAGTCAGGAAGACCTGGGTTTTAATCCCACCTCACCTACTAGCTGTGTAGCCCTGGGCAAAGTCACTGAATCTCTGTCTGCTTCAGTTTTCTCATCTAAGTGGGGATAAGTAATAATATCTCGCAAGGCTGAGTTTTGTTTCGTTTTGTTTTTGTGAAGCAATTGGGGTTAAACACAGCTAGTGTTACGTGTCTGAGGCCAGATTTGAACTCAGGTCCTTCTGACTCCAGGGCCAGTGCTCTACCCACTGCACCACCTAGCTGCCCTCTCACAGAGTTGTTGTGAGGATTAAATGAGGTAATACATGAAAAGTGCTTTGTAAACCTTAAAAAGGGTTATTCTAAATGTTAGCTATCATAATGACTGTCACTACTCTCCTAAATGGCAGCTGGGTGGCGCAGAGGTTACAGCACTCTGAACTCATCTTCATGAGTTCAAATCCAGTCTCAGGCACTTACTAGCTGTGTGACCCTGAGCATGTCACTTAACCCTGTTTGCCTCAGTTCCCTCATCTATAAAATGAGTTGCAGAAGGAAATGGCAAACCACTGCAGTATCTTTGCCAAGAAAGATCCGTGAAGAATCAGACACAACTGAAATGACTTAACAACAATCTCCTAATAAGAATCACAGCAATGACTACATTCTCCTCCTACTTTCCAATCCCTAAGCACAAACCAAGGGGGTGGGGAGGAAGGCCACTCGAGAGTCTCACCTGAAACATCTACTACAATGCAGAAAAGGAGCTCCCCCCTTTCCCTTCCTGTCAAGATACAGGAAAGCAGAGCTCCCCCAGAGGCTTACTGATGTCTGATGTTCTGAGCTGACCTGGCAGAATCATGGCAAATGCACATAAGTCACATCTACCGTAAGGGGTGTCTCAGCTTCTGCATCCTGGGGAATAAAGACTTCATCTCTTCAGGGTGCCCTAGTCATGCTGCATTGATGCAAACCATTAGCAGACAATTTGTCTTTCAATCAGATCAGAAGCTGGACAGCTCCTTGGGCAGAGAGGAAATCTATGGCGTTCTCTGAACTCGCGCGCAGGCTGAAGAATGGCACAGCACCTCTCAGGTGAAAATTAGACACAGTATCAGCTCAGAAGTACCCTGAGTGAGTCAATAAATATTTGTTAAGCACCAACTGTGTGCCAGGCACTGTGCTAAGCGATGAAGATACAAAAAGTGACAAAAGACTGTTCCTGCCCTCAAGGAGCTTACAATCCAACAGGAGAGACAACATGCAAACAAATATACACAAAGCAGCTACATGCAGGATAAACAGGAAATAACTAACAGAAGGACGGCACTGGAATTAAGGGGGCCTGGGGTAGGCTTCCTGGAGGAGGTGAGATTTCAGTTGGGAAACCAGGGAGGTCAGTAGTCCAAGCGGAGGAGGGAGAACATTCCAGACACGGACAACAGCCAGAGAGAATGCCCAGAGCTGAGATGGAATGTCATGTTCGTGAACAGCCAGGAGGCCAGGGTCACTGAGGCAAAGAGCCTATGTTGGAGAGTAAGGTAAGACCGGAAAGGCAGGCGCAACCACCAAAGGCAACATTTTGTATTTGACCCTGGAGACCAAAGGAAACCCCTGGGGTTTACTGCGCAGAGGGGATGACACGGTCAGACCTTTTTAAGAAAATCACTTTGGTGGCTGAACGGAGGACAGATCAGAATGGGGAGAGAAAGGAAACAGGCAGTCCGTCCGTCCCCCCCAGCAGCCATTGCCGTAACCCAGGCCTAAAGTGAAGGGCTGCAGCAGGGGGGTGGCAGTGTCAGAGGAGAGGAGGGTGCATATTGGAGAGATACTGCAAAGGGGAAAATGACAGGTTTAGCAACAGCTTAGATATGGGGTGGGGGGGGAGGAAATAAAAGCTAGGAGTCAAGGATAATCCCTAGGTTGTGAGCTGGAATCAGGATCAGGGGGATGGTATTACCCTCACCAGTAATAGGGGGAAAGATGCTGAATTTGAGAGGTCTGAGCTTAAGACAGTGTAATCAGCCGGCACACCCTTTCTGCCTTATCTCTTAAGAACCTTGGCACAGCTCATGAAGCACAAAAAAGGAAGCTCCAGCTACACTCTCAGTAGCTCCGCCTCACAGGAAGGGCATGGTGGGACTCCCTTCTCCCTCCTCTCTAGGATCCCCTACGACGCCATGAAAATTTGGGGTGGGGGCCGTGGCAAAAGAGGAGAGGGGCAGCTAGAGCATCAGACCTGAGTTCAAATCCAGCCTCAGACACTTACTACCTGTGTGAACCTGGACAAGTTATTTAACCCTGACTGCCTCATGCACACTCTCAAGCACGCACACAAAAGAGGAGAGCCTCGTTCCTCACCTTGCTTAGTGATCTGAAAAGTTTTCTTGCTGCACAGGACGACGGCCTGGAGCATCTCGTGGGGAGAGACATGAGCCTTGAAATTCCGAGGATTCCACAGTTTTCTCATCAGCTCTCCAAACCGCTGCACCAATAAGAACATGATGTCCCCGGGAGGACGCTTGATATCCTTGTAATTCTCTTCTTCAAGGAAGTAGTTCCGGAGTGGGGGGACGTTGGACAGCGCCTAGAACCCAAACACACAGCGTCACTTAACGACTCTGCAGCACTCCGAAAGGTGACAGCTCTCTCACCCAAGATCTTACAATCCAACATGCTCATGACCATCCCAAAACGGTAAAACATAAGTTAGACCCTTAGGGAACGCTCTAAGCTAGGAAGGAAGATGAAAGATTGTCCTTTCCCTTGCCTTGGAGTGGCCACTCAAGGGAACCTGTGTCCCAGAGGCACCAGGGATGCAAACACCATCGCCTCTGTCCCCATTCTGCTATCCCCCTGAGACAAGGAGAGCTGGACGTGTATGCCCATGAGTGCTAGCTCATGGGGACTAGGCAGAGCACTGTCACAAAAATTCTCCAAAACCCAGGAAAATGCCTCTTGTTCACATGGAGCCTTTCCCCCAAGGTTCCCTGACCAACCTAAGGCTGCCGTAAAGTAAGGAGAGGGTCAGAAGCCAACGTGGTCAAGCCCCTTAAGCAGCAGAAGGGCTGGGGCTGTCCACATGGAGCTGCAGCCACTGAGCCACAGAATCTCCCTCACCACACCCCGACTCACTTCCCACATGTGGGGACCCTCTTTACTCTCAGTGTTCTTTCTTCTAGTCAGACCTCCTGGCATCTGTGGCTCTGACTCACTGATGTTTTAGCTACACTTTGTGACCTGTTTCCCTGGCAATGAATGTACTTCAGCTGAAACTAATGCAAATTATCAATAAAGGATCAAAGTTGTAAGGGGAATCAGAGGCCACCAAGGGCCTTGCCCAAAGTAACATACAGAGCGTCACAGAAGATCTGAACCAACATCTCTGGAAGATCCTTTCCGCTCATTCAATGCTGGGGGAAGCACCAACTTCGAGAATTGCTGTGGAGAGCAATATGGCAGTAAGCCAGAAGTGACAAGAATAATGATCACTTTTGGTGGAAGGAAAGGAATAAGCATTTATTAAGTGCCTGTTGCATACCAGGCACTGTGCTAAGTGCTTTCCAAATATTATCTCATGTGATCCCCACAACAGTCCTTGGAGGTAGGTGCTATTATGATCCTCATTTTACAGTTGAGGAAACTGAGGCAGACAGAGGTTAAGTGACTCACCCAAGGTTACGCAGCTAGGAGTGTCTGAAGCCATGTCTGACCTCATGTCTTCTTGATTCCAGGCCCAGCACTCTATCCAGCGAACCACCCAGTGCCTGCGACAGCATAATTCCATTGTTGGGCCTATGCCCTCACAGTACTATTCCCCCCAAAAAATCCCAAAATGGCTGTCTGTTCAAAGATTTTCATGGCCACGTTATATGTTATTACAAGTAAGTGAAGCAACCTAAATGTCCAGCAATAGAAGAGTGACCAAATGAACTGTGGCACTGTAATGTACCATCATTACCAATGAGCAGTGTGGTAGAGAGCGTGCTTTGCCTGGAATCAGAGGACGTGGCTTTGTGTCCCACTTCTGAGCTTTATAATCTTTGCCGAATCACTCAATTTCTCTGAGCCTCAGGAGAAAAGCCCCAAGACTTACCTACTAGGTTATAAGCGGACTGAGATTTGTATTGGTGGATGTTGTTTCCATACCAATGAAATGACAAATGATGCACTGACATTAATATAATGGAAGAGTATAATACAATTAAAAATGACAATATGAGGAATGTAAAGAAATCTGGAAAGGCCTTTATGAAACATGAAGACAAAAAGATGTACGAGAACAAAAGAAGAGAAGTGAAGGGGGATGGGCAGAGAATTCTAACACAAATAGTGGCTAACAGTGGCTGTAAGGTCACATTTCAAGCACCAAAATTAATTAATTTAAATGTAGTTCCTAACAAGTTGAATTGCATCACTATTTACTATTCAGTCTGGAAACGTTCAGGGTTTCCACTTCCAGCTTTGTCACCCCCCCACTGATCAAGGCCGTCACCTTCAGGAAAGAGAAGGGGCTCCCACTATCCCCAGGAAACCCCTCCCATCACAAGCTCCCTAGGGACCCTCACAAGGGCACAGGCAGAAAACCTTGCCTGAACCTGGCCTTGGGCCCTCTGCTTCTGCCCCTTCAAGTCAAAAAGTAAAAGAGCAGGTTATCTGGGGTGCCCATTTCTGAGCTGCCCCACGCCATCTCTCTTGAAAGGGAAAGGAGGAGCGAGGTGACCATCATGGGCTGGACCACAGGGATCCTACATTCTACTTCAACTCTTTCAGTTCTCTAATTCTGAGACTTTGTGCGCTGAAATCAAGTGAAATGTCAATAATTATCCAACAAATATAATTATATTCACAGTAAGGTTAAATTTCTAATGCGTCAGTTATTTTTTAAGCAGAAGTGAGGCAAGAATAAGATACCACCTCACAGCCAGGACAATCTAAGGCTCACTAGCTGGGACACTGAGTCATCTCTGGTTATCACCTTAATGTCATCAGGAAATCCCCAGATCCACCCTGCTCAGTCCAATTCAGCAGCAGTGGTAGCAGAAATGATTGTAGCAGCAATAGAAGCAATAACAGTCAACATCTCTGGAAGGCCCACAAAGCGCTTTCCTCAAGAGAGCCCCATGACATGGACAATATAAGTATGATTTGCCCCGATTGACAAATGAAGAAACTGAGGCTGGGAGATTAGAGAGTTTGTCCAAAGTCACATAATGAAGGAGTATCAGGGCACTGATTTCATTCCAGGTCTTGGGGAGGGACCAAGCAAGTGCCACAGGCTACAGGCTCAGGAGACAGGAAGAAGGTGGGTACACCGGCCCATCTCTCACCAATGGCCCAGGGGGCTGATGCAGGAGTGTACTCCCTGGTCAAGCCTCGTGTGTGGTCAGACAGTCCTAGCAGCAAGGCCAGAACTATGTTTAGTGATGGCACTTCCTCCTCCTCTCACCTGACTCCAAAGTTAGCCTCTCCTCCTGGGCCTACCTGAAGCACGGCATTGGCATAGTCATTGGCCTTGATATTATTCAGCCCTACGATACCAGGCAGGTATGTGGTACCATCATAAGCCCGAGACAGCTTGGCCTGCTTGTCCAAGTTTGAAATCTGTTGCTTGGTGAACGTGGGCTTCAGGACATACTGCAAAGAGAAATATAAAATCAGCAAAGGTATAACCCTCCTTAAGATTACTAAGAGCTCAAAAGACCCCTCAAAATTTTTTCCCTAACAAAAAAGGACCTGGTGAGAAGAAGCAGCCATCATAGCTCTATCTTCAAACTACAGCATTCCCAAAGAAGGCTTCAACCAGGGTTTTCTCACTGAAGCAAGTTCTTAATTGTGATAATAATAGCTAGCATTTATAGTGCATTTGGGTTTGCAAAACATTTTACATGTGTTATCTCACTTAATCTGTCAAACAACCCGATGTGATAGATAGCTTTATTATCCTCACTTTTCAAATGAAGAAATCAAGGCTGAGATGTTAACTTACCCCAGGTCTTACAGCTAATGAAAAGTGTGAGGCAGGATTTGAACTCAGGTCTCCCTGACTCCAAATCCAGCACTCTATCCAGCATACCACCTAGCTATCTTCATGAGCTCAAACGTTAACCTTCAATTCAACAAGATAAATTAACTTATTTTCTGAGAATATTTTTCACATTACAGCCTAGAATGAAGTTGTTCGCTTTCCTCAGTGACATAATTCATTAAAGATTCCCAATCACACAAGCCACAAACTCCCAGGATCCCAACATCTGGATGCTGATTATATCCATTTCCCCACACATTAAAGGTGACGCCCCAAGGCCACTTGGGCTTTGTGTCTAGGACATTGGGGTAAGTTGGCACACAAGGGAAATGACCCATGTCAACCCCAAAGAGGCTCCCAAGAGACCTGACACCCTCCACAGTGACACGTACAGTGATGTCCTCCAGGGAGGAGTCAATGATTTCGTAGTTGTCTGGAAGGCAGTAAAACTTGAGGGTGTGCAGATTAAGGAAAACATGGTGGCTGAACTGGACACTGTGAATGTAGGCATGTGATTTCAATCCTCGTCCTGGAGGAAAAGAAGGAAGGGATGTTAGAGGAGGGGATGTGGTGAGACAACTTTAAGGGGCCGATTTTTCCCAGGCCTTCTCCATATTATCATGTTACACTCAGTAACAATGAAACATTATTCCATCCCCAACTGCAGATATAGCCCAGAAAAGAATCCCCCATGGTCCAGTATTCAGGGAAATCAATTCCTTTCTATAGATTTCTAGACACCTCCCCCCACCCCCCACCCTGGAACACTGTGGAAGCATTCCTTGGCACAGTGGAAAGGTAGGGAACAGGCCTCTCATCAAAATACTATGGTCCTGCATTTCCAACTTCTTATGCTGTCCATAAAACAACTTAACCTTCAACTTAACAGACTTAAAACCAGATTCCTCATCCCTCTCCAAAATCTATCCCATTCCCCAACTTCCATTTTTTCTAACAGTAAAACCTTTCTGCATATTTCTTAAGCCAGAAAGCTTAAAATCCTCTGACTTTCCACTCTCCGTTCAGAACAAATCTTACCAGCTCCTGCCACTTCTTCCTTTGAAATATCCTTTCCTCTCCATTCCCACAATTACTGACCTGGACTCAAACACCTGCTGACCTCCAAACTGGTCTCCCTGACCCTCGTGTTTGCCCTTCCTAATCCGCCCTGCATACCGCCACAAGATTCATCATACATAAACGTCATGCTCTTTATGCCATTCCCAGGCCCCTAAACCTACAGTGGCTCCTTACTACATACCCAGTAGGCTAAAATTCTTCCACCTAGCTTTTAGTAGAATGTAAACTACTGAGGCCATTTTTCACTCTCTTTATCCCCAGTCTCTAACACAGTACCTGCTATACAAAAGTGCTTAAAAAATACTTGGTGCATTAGGCTGCATTGAAGGCCCTCCAAGAGCTGCCCTCTGCCTATCCAACCTTCTCTCCCTTCATTCCCCTATCCAAACTGTCCATTAATCATTTCCCCAGAATACATCACATTCCTCTCTCTTTTGGGGCCTCGTTTGAGCGGGCTTCCATATGACCTGTATAATCATTCCCTGCCTTGAAAGTTGAGCCTACTAGGTGGCGCAGTGGATAGAGCACCGGCCCTGAAGTCAGGAGTACCTGAGTTCAAATCTGGCCTCAGACCAAACACTTAACACTTACTAGCTGTGTGACCCTGGGCAAGTCACTTAACCCCAACTGCCTAAAAAAAAAAAAGAAAGAAAGAAAGAAAGAAAGTTAGTTTAGCCTAAAGACACACTCCTATGGCCATTGAGCAAGACAGCCTCTCCCTTCTATGAGGACCTAGCCCAGTGGATTGGCATCGATCAGGATAGCACGCCACGATGTGCTGCCCGGCCACCTAAGCTTGTTGAGGGCAGCAAGCATATCTTTCAGTTCTTTCAGCGTTTGCACAGGTCAGAAGAATGCTGGGATAAACATTTGGTAAAAGACTGAGCAGAAGTACTCCACCTCTGGGGCAGCTAGGTGGTGCAGTGGATAGAGCTCTGGCCTTGACATCAGGAGGACCTGAGTTCAAATCTGGCCTCAGACACTTGACACTTACTAGCTGTGTGACCCTGGGCAAGTCACTTAACCCCGATAGTACTCAACCTCATTCCCAGAATGGCTAAGAGAGGTTCCTTCACAAAGGGATCCTCGGCAAAGCCCGTTACCTATTCTTCAGAAGACTCATGCCAATGGGCTATCTGATCCCAAAGGGACTGAAAGGGACTGCTAAAAACACCTGTGTTCCTCTGGGCAGGTCCTAAACTGCCATGCCTACAGGGAAGTTTGGAGCTCTAAGTCAGACAAAGTATATTTACCCTGAAAGTATTTGCCACACACCAGGCAGGCGTATGCATTGATGTGTGAAAGCGAAATGGAGCACAGTTTTTCAAAGTCAAAGTCCAGGACGCTCCTGAAAGAACAAGAGGAAAACAATTAGCTTAATAAAGCTAAGGCTGAGGCCCTCCAGGAGCACAAAGTCATGTTCCTTTGCAGAAGCTCCCAGATCTGCTGCTATGGGTATGTGGTGTGTACTCTAGACACCGCCCCCCTCGCTGGCTCCTGACACAGTCACACACTGAGCCTTGATCCACCTGGCCAAAGCACCTTGAGCAGATACACAGAGCAGTCCTCTACGCCTGCTGCTATTTATAACAAGCTAAGAGTGCTTCCCTGCCAAAAGACTCAGGGGCTCCTCGGGCCTGTCGCTTCATCTCTAAGATGAGAAGACCACACGAAATAAGCCTCTGAGCTCTCTCCAGTTCTAGATCCATGATCTGTGATGGTTCTGTGACCTGTGTGGCTAATGTGCAAGAACACGTCTCTTCCCTGGGCCTCACTGTCCTCACCTGTAAAAAAGGTGGCTGGGCTACACGTCCTCTAGGGCCCCTTCTAACCCCAGATTGATGATCCAAAGAGCAGCTCAAGATTTGTCTCGTTGTTTGATTGAGCCCCCTAACTAACTGGGGGTAAGAGGGAAAGTGGAAAAAAAGAAGCACCCTCAAATAAAATCCAAATATTCTGTGAAGCATTCACTTGACAAACATTTATTAAGCACCTAATATGTGCAAAGGCGCTGTATTAGGCACTAGGGACACAAAGATAAAAAAGATACAGTGCCTCCTCTCAAAGCATTTAACTACTGGGAGTATACGATGCTGTGCAAATAAGATTACAAAACAGACTACGGCAGAGGTTAAACAAAGAAGGGGGGAAGCACTTTCAGAAAAGTTGGGGAAATCACCAACAGCTGGGAGGATGAGAAGCCGCCAGTTCTGCTGGGCCCTGAGGGAGGAAAACAGTTTCAAGAAATGAAAAGAGGACCTGGAGAAAGTGGCATCATGGAAGTCAAGGGAGAAAAGTTTCAACCAAAGAGAAGGGTGGCATTTATACTAGAGCCCAGAACAGGAAACAGATCACAGAGGAAGATAGCAAGGAAATGTTCTCACATGCCGGCAGATTTCTTAATGTGTGTGCAAAGTAGGGGTGAGCACAAAAAATAACAGATTCCACTCACTCCTTCCTCTATCCTCAATCACTGGCACTGCATTCTAATTTTCTGATAAATCATTAAAATCCACCAAACACTCATCTGCTTTCAGATGAACTGCAGGGTTTGCAAACACATCCCCATTCCCCATATCTATCAAAGCTAAAAGCCCATTTCATTTACATTATGGGTCAGGCACACGTCCATTCTTCTACAAACTGGGCTATAAAGTGCAGCAGAGACACATCTTCTGGCACCCTAAGCTCTTAAAAGGGTGATGTATGAGCCTCTCTACTCTGTGTCATTAACTATGGACTGTATACAATCCAAATGGCTTTTGGAATGGCTTTTATGTTCTTCCAGACCAACCCTAATGCTGTCTTCAGATGAACAATGTTCTTTTTGCCCAAGAAACACAACTTTTCTCTGCTTCACTGACCTGTTAATGGTGTCCAGGTAGGGGCAATGGCGGCTCCGTCGATCCTCAGTGTCTAAGCGTCCATATCGCACTGAAATGAAAATCAAGGGCAGTGAAGATGCAAAATTACAACACAAGTCAGTGACAGGCAGAAGCTAAGGAAGGGAGTGACCAGAGGTTCAGCTCAGCTCAATGGCTATGTCAAACAGTGGACCTTACAGTCTGCCCCCTCCCCAAGAAAGGAAACCAGTGGCTACTGAACAGAGACTGGGATCCTAGAATGAGAATGTAACCTCCTCCAGCCACACCCCATAAAGGGGAGTCTAAGGTCAGTGGTATCTCATCACCTCTCACTTGTCATCTAATGGCATTCGAACTGGGCCCAGGGTGCCCAGCCTCTGCCCTCTATCATCCATCCGCCACGGAGCTGTTAAATGATCTGCCTGAAGCACAAGTCACCCACAGGGGCACAGTTAGAGCTGGAAGGGCCCTTGGAAGCAAGTAAGTCTCATCCCCTCATTTTATAGATAAGGAAAATGAGGCCACAAAGAGCTTCGGTGACTTGTGCAGGGTCACATAGCTAATATGTCTGCAGCAGGATTTGAATTCAGATCTCACTGACTCTAAATCCAGTGTCCTAGCAACAATGTGCTGCCTCCATCAAAATTCTTTACTAGTTCCTTAGGGCCTATAGGATAAAATGTGAGCTTTTAGCTTGTAATTTAAGGCCCTCCAGAATCTTACTCCAACTTACTTAACGTTACCAACTTTATTTCATTCCACTTCCCTTCACAGACTTCATGATCCATCCAAACTGGCACATATTCCCTCCCCAGCTCAGGTCTCTCCTCCTATTTATTACAGACTTCCCTATCCTTCCAACTGAAAGGTCCCTCTCTCCCCAAATTTCTCATAGCATTCTATCTCAACATGTCCTTGGTCCTCATCACACCCTATCTTATTTACAAAGATGTGGTCTTCACCCATCCCCACCCTTAGGGTATCTAATCTAGGCAGCAAGGTGGCACAATGGACCTGTCAAGCCTGGAAGTCCTGGCTGTGAATCCTAATTCAGACCCTAACTTTGTGACCCTGGGCAGGTCTTTTAACCTCTCAGCCTTAGTTTCCTCATCTGTAAAATGAGGATAATAACAGTACCTGAGTCAAACAAGTTAACATTTGAATAGTGCTTTCTGCAAATCTTTAAATGCTTTGCACGATAGCTATTATTGGATTATTACAGAAAGGGAGGGAATGAGCATTTATTAAGCTCTCACTAAGAGCATCACAAATATTACCTCACTGGATCCTCACAACAAAGATGGGAGACAGGAGCTATTATGATCCCCATTTTATAGTTGAGGAAACTGAGGCAAGCACAAGTTTAGAGACATGGCTTGCAGGTGTGTGAAACAGTATTCACACTCAGGTCTTTCTGACTCCAGGCCCAGCACTTTATCCCCCATCCCACCTGATTCTTAAACTAACAGCAGCAGTGGCATTTCTATAGTATTTTACAAATATTATCTCATTTTAACCTTCACAACAACATGGGGACATAGCATATAGAGGTTAAATGACTTGCCCAGAGTCACACAGCTAGTAGGTGTCTGAGGCTGGATTTGAATTCAGATCTTCCAGGCTCCAGGTCCCAGTGCTCTTTCCATGGTGATCCCCAGCTGCTTATTATCTAATGATGGCAGTAAGGTCCCCAAGCACAGCGTCTTCCTCCTATCTTTGCCCCTAGTGCTCTGCCCACTGTGGGGCCCCAATAAATATTTATTCAATTGAACTGAACCAAAGAGACTCAGTCAAAAACATCCCATAAAAATAAATTAGAGGCAGCTAGGTGGCACAGTGGATAGAGCACCAGCCCTGGATTCAGGAGGACCTGAGTTCAAATCTGGCCTCAAACACATAACACTTACTATCTGTGTGACCCTGGGCAAGTCACTTAACCCCACTGTCTACCCCCCCCCAAAAAAAGGTTGTTAAAAATAAATTAAATTTATTTAACAAGAACTCGCCAATCAAGTATGTGCAAAAAACTGGGAATATTACAGAGATGGACAAGACATAACCCCTGCCCATCAAGTATCTTGCAATCCAATAATATGAGTAACATACAGACAAATCACTATCACACAAGTCAGTAGTGCAAAGACATCTCACTTATTACTGAACTCTACACAATCCCTAATACAGGGTCTTGCATGGAGCTCAACAGATGTTTGCCAAATGAACTACTGCATGTTGCTAAAGGTGCTCAGAGTAAGAGACTATTTCTAGCTGGTGCAATTAGAGAATGCTTCATGAAAGTGGCATTTGAGATTATAGGATCATTAGACAAGCCTTTATTAAACAGCTAATCCAATCTGCTCATTATATAGATGAGAAAGCAGAGGCCCCAAGACATGTGATTTGCCCAAAGTCAGGCAGGAAGTAGGCAAAGAGTCAGGACTTCTCTGACTCCAAGTCCAGCATGCTTCCTCTCCAAAGGACAGATGGGAGAGTAGGACAGTTTTCTTGTCAGTGAAACGAGGGTAGTAAACTAGATGATCTCTAAGGCCGCTTTCCAGCTCTAATTCCTATGATTGGTCAGGAAATCCCAGCAGAAGAAAGAGCCTGAGTAATGGTTGAGAAGCAGGAAAAGAAAAAAACTGTTAAGTGTGTCTGGAGTCCAGGGTTTTTGAAAAAAACTTCTGAAAAGAAGGCCAGAAAGCTATGCTGCCTGGCTCACTAGGGCCTCGCCCAGAAACTAGAGGTTCTGTTACTGCCCAAGGACAGCCTGGGCTCAAAACTGGGAGCTACAGCTCCAACTGTCATTCCCAGAGGCGTCCTCCCTTCGGAATCAGAGAGTGTGTGTTAACTGAACTTTGGGTCAACGAGGAATCTCTGAACAAAGAGAGAAAGAAGGTGAGCAGAAACGGCCTTCTCGTTAGAACTTTTAAATGTGTATAAGGAAGAAACAAACAGAATTTTAAGAGTCTGTGAAGAACTAACAGTTTACAATGCATCTTGGAGAGACTATGATGGCTGAGAAATGGACAAAGAAAATGACCTAAAATAACTTATTTCCTGAGAGAATAAATTTAACTCTCATTGAAGAGAAATATAAAAAGGATGCTTGAGACTAATCAGTATCTTAAGTGAACTGAATGGTGGAACTGTGTTTGCTTTAAAAGCGAAGTCATTCGGGGCAGCTAGGTGGCAAAGTGGATAGAACACCGGACCTGGACTCAGGAGGGCCTGAGTTCAAATCTGGCCTCAGACACATAACACTTACTAGCTGTGTGACCCTGGGCAAGTCACTTAACCCCACTGCCTAGCCCCCCCCCCCCAAAAAAAGTGAAGTCATTCAATGTTACAGTGAGGTGTTTAAAATGACTCTGGCTGTAATCTTTTGCAGCTAAAATATTGCAAATAATTATGTATGATTTACTACTAATGCCATTGTTAATAAATTATACATCTAACAATTTTAATATTTAATTCCAAAAGATTAAGGGATTTAATGTAGAGAAGAGATACAGATATTAGGAATATAAAAATATTTTTAAAAACCTATAAATTTCTCCTTTCCCAGTAGTAATTAACTATTTGAGAAACTAAATATTTAATAAACTGGAGTGGAAGCACAAACTCATGAAAGATAAATTGCCCATTTATTAATTTTTAAAGTTTCAAACATATGCCCCAATTACCCTAGAACCCAAGAGAAGATTAAATATGGGCCTAAGTCAAGGGGCAAGTTAAGAAATAACCTACAAGTAAACCCAGTCAACCTCAGAACTTGTTACAGAGATAAAGAAAAGACAAATAAAAGATAAAGAAAAGCCTGAATGCCAGGCTAAGTAGTTTTTGTATATGGTAGCACAAGGCTACAGGAGTCATTCATTCAATAGGCATGTATTAAGTGTCTTTATGTGTCAGGCACTGTTAGGGGCTGGAAAGAGACAAAATGAAAAGTCTCTGCCCTCAAGGAACTTATGTTCCATTGAAGCAAACATGTATGCATAATTTAAAATATACACAAAGCAAATGCAGATGATTGGGGTGGGGGAACTAGCAACCAGAGGGGATCAGGAAAGACCTCCGCCTCCTAAAGGCAGTAACCCTTAAGATGTCCTCCGAATGAAGCTGGGGTTTCTGAGAGGCTAAGGTGAGGAGGACAAATTTCCCAGGCCAGCAGGAGAGTTTGTGCCAAGGCAAGGAGATGAGAACTTGCTGGTTTGGGACCAACCTACTGTGGAGTTTAAAAAGGTTCATCAGACATAATTTCTGGGTAATTTAATCATGCTTATTAATAAAAGGATGGTCAGTTGGCCATCTCTCTTGAACCAAAGACCCTTCATGATGGTGGGCACACAGTTTATATATCCTGGGAAGACTGGGTGTTCCTGAGGGTGGCAATCAACTCTGATTGGTTAACAATTAACGAGAATGAATATTACAATGAGGGCCTTGGATCACTCAAGTCACTGGACAAAGAGACTTATCCATTTCCATATCACCTGTCTGACAAAAAAAAAGGTCTATATTTTCCCAGAGCTCTCTGAGCAAACACAATGAGTAGGAATGCACCCATTAGCCCAAACTTAGAATTTCTTTTACTGTCTTTATTAGATCTCAGCCATCCCGGCTAGGTATGTCTTTTAGAAAGATTTCCGACATTGGCTGACTTCTAGATGAGGAAGCAGAAAAGGGGAAAAACCTTGATTCTGATTAAATAATCATTTATTAAAACAAGAGAGAAATAATCATTTCTGACACTATGAAGTTTCTTTTGGACCCTGTGTCTGTCACTCATCATATCAGCTACCTCTCCAATCTCCAAATTTGCTAAATATTCCTTCTATGTCATTACGCATGGTCTTGACAAAAATGTTAACCAGAACAGGGGCAATGAAGTATCCCTAAAACATAGGTGGGAAGGCACAAAGTTTAAATAAGACATATTTCCTATCCCCTTGAGCTTACAACTTGGGTAGAATAAATAAAACCTATTTTGGTAACTGTAATACTTGAGAAGAGCATTAAATCAAACCTAAATTTTCCTCTTTCCAATTCCCCTCACCCCCAGCTCCTTGTTCTGCCATCTGGGGCCAAGCAGACTGTGTCCCCCTTCCATCTGATAGCCCTTCAGATACACGAAGACAACTATTACAACCCCTTCCTAATCCTGGCCAAACATCCCCAGTCGTTCCACACAGCCTCATAAGAGAGCCAGCATATACCTAGCATGCTACAGTTTGCAAAGCGCTCGTTATCTCATTAGAACCTCACCCCAATCCTATAAGGTTAATGCTCATATGGCAGCCCGTCACCACACTGATTTTCTTCACTCAAACTCTCTAGTGCCAACGGTGCAGCTTTGTGACCTTGGGCAAGTTACTAGACCCTCTAAACGACCTCATCTACCTAAGATGAGCTCTAAGTTTCCTTCCAGCTCTGAGCTGGTACATCACACCTGGACAGCTCCCAGATCCCAAGGCCTGATACAGCCTTTACAACTAAATGCTATGAACTTTCAGAGCCAGAAGCGGCAGTTTGCCCACATATAAAGTGCACTCAATATTGCAGCTAAACTGGCTTGCCTACTGCTCCCATACAGGACACTGGCAAAGGCAATCCTCCTTGTCTGGAGCGTGCTCCCTCCTCCAGGGAGTCCCTGTTATTGTTGCTCAGCTGCGTCCGACTCTCCATGACTCCATTTGGGGTTTTCTTGGCAAAGATACTGCAGTGGTTTGCCACTTCCTTTTACAGATGAGGAAACTGAAGCAAATGGGGTTAAGTGACTCGCCCAGGGTCATACAGATAGAAAGCATCTGAAGCCAGAGTTGAACTGAGGAAGATGAGTCTTCCTGACTCCAGTTCCGGCACTCTATCCACTGTCCCACCTAACTGCTCAGAGATTTCCTAGCTTCCTTCATGGTTCAGCTCAAGTACTATCTCTCTACAGAAAAGATATGCTGATTCCCCATTACTAGAGCCCTTACCCTGCAAGTTAGTGTGTGTGTGTGTGTGTGTGTGTGTGTGTGTAAAACACTTATTTTTCCCATATTTGTTAAATGTCTTCCAAAGAATATAAGCTACCTGAAGGCAAGGACTTTCATTTCGTCTTTGGTCCCCAGCGCCCAGTACAATGCCTAGCACATAGTAGGTAGTTAATAAATGTTTCTTGATTGAGAGGAATTAAAGTGAGGATAATAATACTTTTACTACCTCCCTCTTGGGAAAGTACCTTTTAATCCTTCAAGGAAAAGCTATCTCTGTTATTGTAAAAAGCAGAAAAAGGGTGAAAAGTAGAAAAATATTACATTAGATAGTGCCATAAAAGTGAAGAAAATTCTGGCTCTGGAATCAGAAGATCTGGGTTCAGGGACTATCTATGAGGTTTACCACCTGTATCACATATTCCAAATCACTTAACCTCCCCGCTTCAGTTTCCCCTTCTATGAATGAGAGAGTAAAACTGGACAGGCCTCTGAGGTCGCTGCTAGAGCTATGATCTATGATGGTTTTAAGTCGGGACTATTTCTTATGGACAAAGTGAACGATAAATGCTTTTTAACATGCCTTTAGTTATAAAGTGACGTGTTCAACACTGGACACACAAACATAGAACAGTCCCCGTCCGCAGGGGGTTTACATTTTGCTGCAGGATCTAACTTTTTTTGGCTCAAATTCCCTTCATCAATCCAGCTCTAACTTACATTCTCTCACAGAGCCTAGATGAAGAGACTAGCCCACAGTACCCCAGGGCCAGCATCAGAGAGACACATGGCCTCCTGACTTCCAAGACTCTTCCTCTCACGTGTATACAAACAAGTAAAGAAGCAAAACTCACTAAAAGGACACTAACAATAGAAGACAGGCACAGGTGCCAGAACTCTGGAAGGCAGGGAATACAGGGAAGGTTTAGTGTGGGCTGCCCCTAAGCCCCGGGGCTGAGACAAGGACACCCCAACCTCCGTCAAGGTTCATTTCAAGCGGACGCCTTCTGAAGCCTCTTCAGACTGTCCCACCTTACCAGTACCCTCCTCTCCTCTCAGAAATTACTCTGGACTTGACTAGCACGTGGTTGGCATGCAATTATCTAGCTGTGCACGGCTGTTTCCCCCAACAGAAGGTAAGCTGCTTGAGGGACCGGCCTGCCTCGATCTTGCGCCGGCAACTCCCAGAACCTAGCAGAGGGCAGAGAGCACGGGCTCTGGAGCAGTCGTTGGCCCTCCTGCGCCTCAGTTTCCACATCTGGACACAGAAGGGGAAAGAATGGCCGTCCTCGGAGACTCCTTCCGGCTCCGGGCTGGAGGGAAGGGGATGGAGAAGGGAAGGGGAAGGGGGGACGCCCCGGTCCCGGCCCCGCGCACCTCGCACCTCCCGCTCCGGCTCCGAGTCCTCGTCGGCCTCGCGCTCCCGCTTCACGCGCGCCCCCGGTAGCGACGGCGCGGGCACGAGTGCGGGCACGCTTCCGCCCGAATAGTCTCGCGCAGCCGCCGGCTCCGAGTTCCGTTCCCGTTTCACGCGCACCGGGCTCCCCCGAGATCCCGTGCCGTCCGAATCCCGCTCCCGCTTCGACCGACTCGAGCTGCTCCGGGACTCCCCATCCCGCTTGCCCCGGGCGGAGCTCCGCGTCTCCCTTTTCGAACGGCTAGACATTCCCTCCGGCCACCGGCCCCGCCGCGCACCCGCGCTGCTCTTCCGCGCAGGCGCAGAGACCGCCCTCGCGGAGCCGCGCCTGCGCGCCACAGCTGGCCAATCAGCCGCAACGCTTCCCGCCAATCCGCTGCAACGTCTGCTCGGGCCTTCGAGCGCTGTGACCCGCATCTACAAACCGCTTTCCCAGGCTTCCGTGTGTGACTCCTGGATGCTCTCATTGGTTCCCGCCCCACCTATAGGCTGAATGGGCCAATCCTCTTCGTTACCCAGAGTTTCTTATTTAAAGGGCCAGATGGTCTCTAACTGGAGCGAGAGTAACATTTAGCTTTAGAACTGGAGAAATTGTTACTTAACTGACTGATGCATAAGGGAAAGATGCTGTCCCGTCCCCCAAAAGCTGCGATGGATGTAGCGCAAACATTCAGTTGCCCAGGAATTTTTTTTGAAATAATTTGTATTGATGTGTCCTGTTTCTTACATCACCATTGTAACAGCCCCTCCCCCTTCCTGAGAGCCATCCCCTAAGACAAATGATACTTTTAGTAAGGAAAAAAAAGTCAACAAGTAAAGGTATTCAAATGTGCAAGCAACAGCATTTGGAAAATGAGAAAACTAAGCATGTGATGAGAAAACAGGAACCAAAAAAGGCTGTGAATGATTGCCAAGAAGTTAGTTAACAGCAGCAACAACAATAATGTCAGGCAGTTCCCTCCACCAGAGAAATCATAGTTCCCCACCAGAAGAATGGCAACGTCTGCAATAACCCAGTTCTTTGCGATTGACTTGGGAACCTGGAGTCTTTGGCCCCTAACTCAAATCCTGGCTCTGACATTCATTGTTTGTGTGATCAGAAGGAGCAAGTCACTCACCTTCTCTGGGCCTCATTTTACCCCCCGTAATAGATGGGGATTGGATTGGATGGGGATTGGACTAGATGGCGTTTAAGGTCTTTTCCATCTCTAGATCTTTGACCAATATGTGGTAGGAGTCCATCCCACCCCACTGCCAATTAATCACAGGAGAGCCAGAAGGCCCTGTGTTATCAAAAGTAAAAGATATAGGAATTTTGGTTGTTCAGTCATTTTTCACTCATGTCCAACTCTATGTGACTCCTTTTGGGGTTTTCTTGGCAAAGATACCGGAGTCGTCTGCCATGTCCTTCTCCAGCTCATTTTACAGCTGAGGAAACTGAGGCAAACAGGGTGAAGTGACTTGCCCAGGGTCACAGAGTTGGTAATTTGATTTGAACTCAGGAAGATGCGTCTTCCTGACTTCAGGCTGGGCACTCTATCCACTGCCCCCATATGAATAAGTACTTAATCAATTAGAAAGGATTGTAGGGTCTTTGGACCATTCTGTAAAGGATGAGGACTCATAGGAAACAACTTTTGCTGAGTTGAAGAAAATCACTCCTGACTCTTGGACAGTAAGTTAGTTCAAGACCAGTCAGTCCCCAAATTATTCAATTTAATTAACACTTATTATGTGCCTACTAAGTGTAAAACACTGTGCTTGCTAAGCACTAGGGATACAAAAAGAGACAAAAGACAGTCCCTCCCCTCAAGCAGCTTCCTGGCACAGTCAATATACAAAGCAAACTATATACAGGATAAATAGGAAATAATTAAAAGAGGTAAAGCACTGGAATCAAGAAGAGTTAGGAGACGTTTCCTGTAGAAGGTGAGATTTAAGTTGAGACTTAAAGGAAGCCAGGGAGGTCAGAGCAGGGAAGGGAGAGCTTTCCAGGCATCGGGGACAATCAGAGAAAATGGTGGGAGCTGAGAGATGGAGGATCTGGTTCACAGAACAGCCTGAAGGACATTGTCACTGGATGGAAGAGTAGAATTTGGAGAGTTGAATGCCAAATGGAACATTTTGTATTTTCTCCTAGAGGTGACAGGAGGCCACTGGACTTGAGCGAGCGAGGGTGAGTGACATGATCTGGCATACCATAGGCACTGGTTGACATTTGTTGATTAATTGACTGGGCCTTTATTTCTCCACCTGTAAAATGAGTCCACTTTTTGTCTTTGTCTCTCTAGTGCCTTGTTAAGGTGAAACGAATTGAGGGAGTTAGAATGGATGTTGAGATCCTGTCTCCTTCCCATCTCCAAGCCCCAGGCTGACAAAGAGGAGCCGGAGCTCAGGATAGAAGTGGAGGGGGTGGGGAAAAGGCCAAGCTAAGGGGCTAGGGCTCCCCTTGGGAGACGAGAGGGCAATAACTGACTCAGGAAACTTAGAATTCTATTGGGCCTTGCCAGCCACCCTGCAGCCGCCTGCCCCTTAGGATCTTGTACATACATACATAGTTGTTGGCATGTTGTTTTTCCCATTAGAACTGAGGTCCTTGAGAGCAGGGGATGCTTTTTGCCTTTCTTATCTCAAGCTTTTCACGTAGTGTCTGGAAAACCCTGGATTACAGGGAGAGCTCCTAGAGATCAGGGACTACCTTTTCTATCTGCAGCCCCCTTGTTTCTCAGTGTTTGGCACATGGAAAGTGCTCAAGAACATTTTCCCTCATTCATTCCTTCCTCTCTTCATTCATTTATACCAGGTGGAGAGAATATAGACGCACGCAGACGGGTAAATACAAAGTATTTACAAAGTGCATACAAAGTAAATACAAGAACAGTTGGAAAGGAAGAGAGCGCCAGCAGCCGCCTCGCACGGGGGTGGGGCCAGCCCCGGCGCCCACGGAGAAGGGGAAGGACCGAGCGGGGGAGGCGGAGAGAAGAGGGGCCAATGGGGACGGGGAGGAGCCGCGCGCGGGGGCGGGGCCAGCCGGGAGCAATGTTGGGGGGGGCCGGAGGAGGAGAAGGCGGCCGCGAGTGACGGTTGCTCTGGCGGCGGGGGCGGCGTTGGCTTTTTGTCCTCCGAGCTCCCGGAGCGCCCCAATGGAAGCGGAGCCGGGTCCGGGCCGGCGCTGCTGCTGCAAACCGGGGGGGCGGCTGGACATGAGCCACGGCTTCGTGCACCACATCCGGCGGAACCAGATCGCCCGGTGCGGCCGGGCCCGGGCCCGGACCCTGCCCCGGGCTCTACCCCCGCCCCCACCCTCCCCTCTCCCCCTGCCCCTGGGTCCCAGCCCCAGATCCTTCCTCCCCGCCCCCAACCCCTGAACCGCCGGGTCCCAGCCCACTGCCCTAATCTCGGCCCTCTGGCCCCTTCCCCACTCCCTCCCCCGGGGTTCCAGACCCAGCTCTCTCTCCCCACCCCCACCCCTTGTATCCCTGGGGTCCCTGCCTTCTGAACTAATCTCAGCCTATTGGCCCCTTCCCCGCTCCCTCCACCGGGGTCCTTGCCCTCTATCCCCCTGCCTCTGGGTCCCTGACCCAATTCCTCCCTCCCCTGGTCCCAGTCCCCCGCCCTAAACTGGGTCTTCCGGCCCTTCCCCCTTCCTGTTCTCTCCTGGTCCCTTCCCCTGTTCTCCCCCCAGGGTCCCTGTCGTCCTTTTCCCTCCCCCATCCCCTCTGCCCCAAACCTTTGAATGCCTGGATCCCTGTCTTCTGTCCTAGCATCGACCCCTTTGGCCCCTTCCTCTCCCCGGGACCCTGCCCTCTGTCCCCCTCTCCCCAAGTCCCTGCCCTCTGTTCCCCTCTCCCCGGATCCCTTCCCTCAGTCCTGCTGCTGCCAGCCCCTGGGTTTCTGTCCTTGTACCTCCCTCTCCCCTCTGGAACTCCGGACCCCTGCCCTAGTCCCTGCCCTCAGGCCCCTTCCCGTCCCCTCCCCATCCTTTCCCTTTTCCTAGCCCTTGTCCCCCCTAAACCCAGAGGCCTCCTTCCCCGGGGCCTCTCCGATCCCTGACCTCTCCCCCATCCCCTCTCCATCCCCCCCGCAGAGATAATTACGACAAGAAGATGAAGCAGGCAGCCAAGGAGAAGGTGCGGAGGCGGCTCACCCCCGGCCCTACGAGGCCCCGAAAGCCCGACCAGCAGGTGTACTTACCCCGACGACGCTGCGAGGCGAGGCTGAGCCGGCCCGCAGCCTCCACTGGGAGCCGGGGTGAGAGAGCTAGCGAGAGGGGGCTATGCCCCAGGAGCCTCTAACTAGCTGGGTGTCGCTGGGCAGGTCCCTGGATCCCTCGGGGCCTCGTTCTTGGGACGGGAGGGGTTGCTGTGGATAGAGCTTCGGCTACAGTCAGAAAGACCTGGGTCCCCATCTTGCTGGTGTCACTTAATAGCTGGATGACCCTGTAAAAGGGGAGGGGGTGTTGTAGGTAGTGGGGAGCCGAGAGCATCACAGGTTTAGACTTGGAAGAGGCCATGAAATTCAGCCCCCTCCTTTTCCAGATGGTCCAAAAGGTTCAGTGATTCACAGGGTTTCACGGCTGGGAAATGAGAAGCAGGGAAACTGGACTTGGCATCAGGAAGACCTGGGTTCCAATCCTGTCTCTGTCATTTGCTAATTGTGTGACCTTGGGTAGGGTACTGAATGTCTCTGGGCCTCAGTTTCTTCATCAGAAAAATGATGGGATGGGACCATATGATCTCTGAGTCAGGAAGACCTGAGTTTGAATCCTGCCTTACACACTTACCAGGTGTGTGACCCTGGGCAAGTCACTTAGCCTCAGTTTGTCCATCTGTAAAATGAGACATTGATAACACCTATCTCTCAGAGTTGTTGTGAGGATAGAATGAGATCATGATGCACTTCAAAAGGGGCTAGTAAATGTATATTATTGCCATAGTTGAATAGGGTCCTAGATCTAGAAATGGGAGAGATCTCAGATCTCCGAGTACAGCCTGCTCATTTTGCATATAAGGAGGCAGGCCTGGGAAGGGTGACTTGCCCAAGGCCACATAGTTCATGAGCATGAGTGTGATTTGAACCCAAGACCTCTGACCTCAAAAGCAGTGCATTCCTCCCTACCAGCCTGCTTCCTTATTGATGACAGAGGAAATTATTTTCTCGACAATAAACCGGGAAGCAAAGGACCTGGCTTCAAATCAAGGCCTGGCATTTGCTCAAACAATTATTGGCTGTGTCAATCAATACCTCTGGGCCTTAGTTTCTTTATCTGTCAGAAGGGACATCATAAGTACTGAACAGAGCTTTTGCAAGGTGAGAGGATATGTATGAATCACATTGCAAAACTTAAAAGTGTTACATAAACATTGCTATGGTTGTTACACATGAGGAAACTGAGGCCCAGAGAGAGGCAAAGGGAGGGCCTTGCTCAATGCCACTCACTGGATTAATGAAGGTCACCCAGATTCCCCCATCCCTGCTTTTGGGGACACTAATCACTAGCTGCCCAGCCAGGTGTGGGCCTGGCCACGGCCTGTCTTCCGAGTGGCTGGGGAGAGATGCTGTTTCCAGGGGCATTCCCCACTTATTTCTTTGGCCATCCTCATTCCCAGCCCACTCCTTTCACCCTCACCACTGGTTTCTCTTGGGCCAGATACAAACTTCCCTGCATGCAGCCTGGACTATGGGGAGTCGAGTGAGAGCGGCAGCAGTGGCAGCTCAGACCCAGAGCCCCCCAGCCTTCAGCTCTTCTGCCTCGAATACGAAGCAGACAGTGGGGAAGTCACATCTGTCATCGTGTATCAGGTACAGCACAGGAAGGGCATCAGCCTGAAGAGGTTGGGGTGGGGGATGCACACTCGGCTTTCCTGGGCTGGAAAAGGATGAGGGATGGATGGATGCCTGCTGTCACCCACAGAGGCCAGCTCCGCATGGGAAACAGGAGTTGCTGGAAACGGGTCTAGGATCCCCACGAAGGGACAGAAACCTTGTAAGAGCCATGAGCCAAGTAGACATGGGAGGGTTTTGTGCTAGGAACAACCCTTAGGCCCCTGCCCCATAGTGCCCTGCTCCCTCCCCAAAACCAGAGAGCTGACCTACCTCATCTGCTCAGGATGATGACCCAGGAAGGGTGAGTGAGAAAGTCTCAGCCCACACACCGCTGGACGCGCCCATGCGAGAGGCCCTCAAGATTCGCATCCAGGAAGAGATGGCAAAGCGGCAGAGCCGGCCCTGAGTGCCCGCTTTCCTGGGACTAGACAGACTGACTTGGCTGTACCATCAGAGCTGGAGGTTACCCTGCCCCCTTTACCCTGGGGACTCCAGGCCCTCTGCGGTCTCCCCACTCAGCTGCTCAGGCTCTCGAAGAAGTGTCCACTGCCAAGCTGGCCCCTGGCATCTCCTCTGCTGTGACTCCTCTGCCATCTCACCACAGACCACAGCTGCCGGGGAGTTGCAGAGAAGGGTTTCTCTGGCCAGGTGTCCTGCTAGCTCCAATTCCTGAGACGTGCAGCTCCCAATCAGCGAGAGCCCTGAAGAGCCCCACCTCTCCCAGGGCTTAGTCCCCTAAGCCCTGTACCAATCGATGTACTCCATTTCCAAGGGAGGTTCATGCCCTCTAAATCCGTGCTAGTGTTTGGGAAAGTTCCTCCTCGTGGCCCTGCTTCCCCTGACCAAACTCCTGGAGCATTTTCTCAGCCCTTGCTCCCTCCATTTGCCCCCTTTCACTTCCATGTTACTGTCTCAGGTGGGCCTTGCAGCAGCTCTCAGCCTGCACAGCTGTTTGTTTTCTCATTTTGACTACTCTTAGCAATATCTACAAGAGATCCAAGGAGAAGACTGAGCAAAACCCCAGGAACGTTGGGGGGGATCAGTCAGAACCCTGCGTATTCCATTTGCCCTCCCTAGCAAGGAAGTCCTGCCGTGCCTGGCCCATCAAAGCTGGAATGTCAGTGGAGCTGAGATGCTTCTGAAGACGGTGAGGCTGGAGGACATCTGAAAATGAGATTACAGACAGAGACTCTCCCAACTGACTCGGCACTCTCCAAATTAACAAAGGGGTGCTGAGCAAGCAATAATTATCCAACTGGAGACCCACTGCTCCTTCATCTTTTCCTCTTCTTTAAAGAAGAACCCAAACCCTTGCCCAGATCATATCCAGAGATCCCTTTGCCCTTCCGCTCCCAGACTCTGCCATCTCACATTGCCCATCTTTGAGTGTATAAAGTATGGTTGAGATTCTTAGAATAAAGGTAACCAAAGGAAAACCTCTCCTAGTTATTGAGCATTCTTCCCAGGAGTTGGGCTAGGCTATGAGCTGAGAAAGGTGTCCCAGTATTTCCACAGTGTACCCTCCCCCCACCCTCCAGCAGGCAAAGAGCCCCTACCAGGACCATCACCTGCTTCCCAGAATTCCACCTGGCTCCAGGGAATGATGTAGATTCAAAGTGAACCTCAGAGACCTGCGACTATGAAATCAAAATGACGCTCTTTCCTATCAGAACCTTCATGGCCCATTAGGACCGGCTCCCTGCCGCTTTCTTAAACTGTTACGGGGCCCTAAAACCACAGTTGATTTAGGCCCCCTACCTCTGAGAAGGGGAGTCAGGCAGACACTTAGACCACACAGAACTTTTAGCTTGGAAACAAAGCCACACTTGTCAACTCAGATGAATAAATGAGACCTAAATGGGATTGGGTGGCTCTGGATAGATTGCTAGGTCTGGAATCAGGAAGACCCAAGTTCAGATCCGGCCTCAGACACTTAATAGCTGTGTGACCCTGGGCAAGTCACTTAACCTCTGCTTAATCCACTACCACTCCAGTAGCCTTGTCAAGAAAACCCCATGGATGGTATGGTCCGTGACCCCAAACGAGGTCACAGAGAATTGGACCCAACTAAAACAACTGAACAAATGAGGGGTCTAAGAGATATGAAGGGCTGAAAGACCAAAATGAGCATCTGCCCTCTCAAGCAGGTAACACCTATACCCTAAGTCACCCCTAGCTCCAGAATGCATTTCTGCATCAAGCACCTTCAGGTTTGGCTCTAGGTAGAAGGAAAGTCAGGATGTTAATAAGAGAAAATCACTGTTCCCCATGTTCCCTCAAAAGGGCTGGAAGTGTCCTTTTAATGCCAACATTAGAAGCCCCTGGAGAGGCCTAGTGGATTGATTAGGCTGGCTCAGGGCAAACCATTCAGCTCTCCCCAGGGTACACAGAGAAACAGTAATAGGTTTCATTTGGGTTAGAAGACATCACCCCCAGGGCATTCTTAGCATGGGGCCCCCAAGGACATGTTGCCTGTCAGAGCTGTATTACCCTGGACAACAGGAAGAATAAGGGCCTGAAAAGGCACATTGGACTAATTTGTTTCAACATGACATAGGCCAGGGGTTCTTAACCTTTTGGTGTCCTAGACACCTTTGGCTGCCTGGGAAAGCCCATGGACTCATGTTCTGAATGTTTTTAAATGCACAGAATAACATAGGATTACCAAGCAAGGCCATCTTATTGGAATACAGCTATCAAAGTAAACATTTGTGGCCCCCAGGTTCCCTGGTTTCCCCGTTTCTGACCATAGCAACTCTATTTGCCTTCTCTCTGTCCTTGTTCTTCGGTGAAAGGGGCACTCAACTTAAGCAAAGTCTATGTAACATTCTTCTCCCAGGCAAACTGTCTAATGGTGAAAGTTGGTATTTAGTATTGCTGTAGCATAATGAGACAGGCCTCCATACATTAAAATGCATGTCAGTTCTTCAGATTGCCTTTGGAGGCTATGTTCTGGATTGTCCTGGGGCTCCCTGTCTTCAGTCTCCCCTAGAGCTTAGACTTCTAGAAAGTTTTTCACTAGAAGTGGTACATAGATGGAGCCTAGAAGGAAGCCAGGTCCTCAGACAGGTGGAAGCACGGGAAGTTGTACGTGGCATAAGAGGAAGGGCAAGTAAGCTAGGGGTGGGTAGAGTATGTGAAGGGGAATGATGAGAAATGAGGTTGGCAAAGTAGGCTGGGGCCAGAAGTTGAAGGGCTTTAAACACCAAGCTGAATAGAACATGGGCCATTCCTGAGCAGGGGAGTGATAAGGTGAGATGTATGCTCTAGGAAAATTATTTTGGCAACTGTAGGAAGATGGATTGGAGAGGAGAAACTGGAAGCCAGGAATCCTATGAGGTAACTGTTAAAATAGTCTGGATTAGAGGTGGTGAAGGCCTGGGGCGGGGTGGTGGCCACGAGAGTGGAGAAAAAGTAATAGATGTATTGTGGAGATGAAATTGGGAAAACTTGGCAACTGATTAAATTTCAGGAATGGAGATAGAGGGGAAAGAATCAAGAATGAAACCAAGGTTGCGAACATGGGTGACAAGAAGGAAGGCGGTACCCTCTATGCAACTGGAAAATTGGGGGGAGGAGAAAATTAGTTCCACTTTGAACACATTGAGTTTGGGGTACCTATGGGACATCCATCTGGAGATTTGGGACTGGAGCTGAGGTGAGAAATTAGGGTTGCCTATACAGGTCTGGGATTCCTCTGTATAGAGATGATGATTGAATCCATGAAAGTCGATGAGAGCACTGAGAAAAAAGGCCTCGGATGGGGGTGGGGGGGTGGGGGGGCTGGACTTGGGGGCAAGGAGATTTGGGTTCATACCCCAACGTACTACCTATGTGACCCTGGACAAGTAACTTAAATTTTGTATAAAATGAAGGGTTTGCAACTGATGGTTTCTAAGTTCCCTTCCAGATCTGAATCTATGATTTTAGGAAAGGCGAACTTGCCAAACATGGAGGTTGATAACTCACATTTGTATGTAGCTTTAATGATGGCAAAACACTTAACATGTATTTTCCAATTTAACCTTCACAATCCTGTGAGACTGGTGCTATTATCCAATTTTACAGATGAAGAAACTGAGACTGGGAAAGGTTAAATAACTTGCCTAGGGTCACTCAGCTAGTAAGTATATGAGGGAACTCAGGTTTTCCTGACTCGTCTGGCCCACTATCCACTAGGCGACCCTAACCTTTTTTTTTTTAACTTTTTAAAAATTAATTTATTTTTATTTATCCACAATCACTTCCATATGCTTTCGAGTTTAAAATTTTTCTCCCCTTTCCTCCCCACCACCCTCCCCAAGATGTTATGCAATGATATAGGCTCTACATATACATTCCTATTAAACATATTTTCACAATAGTCATGTTGTGAGGAAGAATTAGAACTAATAGAAGGAACCACCAGAAAGAGGAAACAAAACTCAACAGAAGAGAAAAAAAATAGCAAATGGTATGCTTCGATCTGCATTCAAATTCCATAATTTTTTCTTTGGATGTGGATAGCATTTTCCATCATGAGGCCTTTGAAGATGTCTTACATCCTTGTACTGGATTAAGTTTATCAATATTAGTCATCACACAACATGACTGTTATTGTGTACAACATTCTCTTGGTTCTGCTCATTTCACTCAATATCAGACATTACAAGTCTTTCCAAGTTTTTCTGAAGTCAGCCTGTTCATCATTTTTTACAGGAAAATAGTATTCCATTACATTCATATATCACAACTTGCTCAGCCATTCCCCAATTGATGGGCATCCCCTCAATTTCCAATTCTTTGCCACCACAAAAAGAGCTGCTATAAATATTTTTGTGCATGTGGGTCCTTTTCCCATTTGTGTGATCTCTTTGGGATATAGCCCTAGAAGTGCTATTGCTGGGTCAAAGGGTATGCACATTTTTATAGCCCTTTGAGCATAGTTCCAAATTGCTCTCCAGAATGGTCGGATCAGTTCACAACTCCACCAACAATGCATTAGTGTTCCAATTTTCCCACATCTTCTCCAACATTTATCATTTTCCTGTTTTGTCATGTTGGCCATTCTGATAGGTGTGATGTGGTACCTCAGAGTTGTTTTGATTTGCATTTCTCTCATCAAGTGATTTAGAGCATTTTTTCATATGACTATAGATGGCTTTAATTTCTTCATCTGAGAACTGCCTATTCATATCCTTTGACCATTTCAATTAGGGAACACCCTAGCCTCTTGAGAGATCAAGATGATAAAAGGCCATTCTCTGTTCACAAGCCTTCAGTGGTTCCAATATTGATTCCAGGATGAAAGATAGGCTCAGTCTGAAACTGAAAGATGTCAGCTATCTGGCCCCAATTCACTTTTCCACATTATTTCCCACGTTGCTCCTTCACATACTCTGCTGTGGCCAAACTGTATTAGCTGTTCCTCAAGCCTGATATGCCTTCTCCAGCCTCAGTGCTTTCCCCCAGGCCTTCATCCACATCTAGAATGTAAGTCAGTCCACCTTTAAGAATATTGATCAAGAAAGCATACTATTTTCCCTTTTTCTGTTGTTTTTTCTTTCTCGTGGTTTCTCCCTTTTGTTCTGATTCTTCTTTCACAACATGACTAATGTGGAAACATCTTTAATATGATTGTACATTTATAACCTATATCAGATTGCTTGCCATCTTGGGAGGGGGGAGGGGAGAGAGGGGGGAGGGGAGGGAGGGAGAAAAAATTTGGAACTCAAAATCTTATAAAAAGTGAAGGTTGAAAACTAACTAAATAAATAAATAATCTTTGTGGGCTTTAAAAAAAATCCAGATCATGGGTCAGCTTGGGCTCAAAGCCTTCAGGGACACCCCCATTCCCACCCCCCAGTGGGGATTGAACTCTTCCCCCTTCAAATTACCCTTTCTTATGCCCACTGGTGGACTTTCTTGGGGAATGTAAGTTTCTGGAAGACAGGAACTCCATCATTTCAGCTTCTGTAGCCCCAGTGTCTTGCAAATAGTGGGTGCTTAATGTCTATGGAATTAAATAGAATTATTCCAATTATGTTAGAATTGCTTAAAACATTTTTGAAAGTCTTCTTTTAAAAAAAAATGTTTACAATTTAATCAATGCCTTGGATCTTTACAAAAAGTAAATTACCCTTTTTTCCAGATATCTACCTTGACTCTGGAGAAAAAAAAAAACCATCAAAAACCTGTTACAAAAAACCTAGGGCAGTTTCATCCACAATCCACACCCAAAGTGTGGCTCCTGGACTTAGGAGCTGGAAGGAACCTTAGGGGCTATCTAGTCCAATCCACCCCACCCCCATTTTGCAGATGAGGAAACTGAGTCCCAGGGACTTTAAATTACTTGTCCCTGATCACGCCGGTTGTGAATGGCATAGCTGAGATTGGAACCCAGAGTCCTTCCTTGATTCTACAAGCAGTGTTATTTCTACTTTGCCTTGTTGCCTCC